ATATCCTTCCTAACACACCAAAATGCTCCATAAAGCCCAGGCTGGCTCCCACCTCCTCCTCCTCCTCCTCCCTCACAGCAATTGCCCTCAGCCCCGCCGGCCCTCGCCGCGGGAGCAGCTCTCGGGCTTCGTGCCATGTGAAATATCTTCCAGTACATTTTGCCTGTGTTCTGCAGTTATGGGAGATATACAAACTGGAACAATTTAAACTGGAACACCTGCTCCTGAGAAATGCATCAAAAATAATTACCTGTCCTCCCCCTACCCTGTGCAGTGAAATGATCTCTTAACACAGAGCCCTGCTTCTGGCCAGCTTGTCTGCATTATTATGGACAAAGTTTAAGTGTTACTTTCATAAAGGTGAAGAAATTGTTGCTCTTTGACATGCAGCAAGGCCCAATTTACACAAAGGTAACATTTATTTCCCTTGATACAGTCTGCAATCAGCAAACTGGAAGGCAGCACTGCTGGGTGTCTCTGGGATCTCAGACTAGTGCTGCCAGCAGTGCCCCACCGACTTCAGCACACAAACCAGGCTTTCATTCCTTCAGAAAGCACCCCACAAAACACCGCTCCTGCCATCCCAGCCATGCCAGAGCATACCTAGCTGGCATATTCCAAATCAGCCCAGATTTCCTGTTTAACACTAGTCCCACAAAGGAAATCGATCCGCGGCACAGTTCTGTGAAAGATGATGAAAACAGTACAAACTGTCCAACGTGTCAGGCAGAAACCAGGCTGCCACAGGATAATTGTGATCTAACCTAAGGTATGATAAGCCTTTATTTTCTGGCTGACTGTATGCACTAAGACCTGATATTTACCCATGGAAATCCCTGTCTCCAGGAGACACGAACACAGCTATGTCAGGAAAGCTGAAAACTGCAGTGCCACAAGCTCTGGCAGCAAGGAGTGAAGATATGCCACTAACAGCCTCAGCTGCTGTCACTGGATAATGAAATACACAGGCACAGAAACACAAAGTCCTGATTTTTGCTCACCAAGTCAGGTTTTGTCTCATCTCCCCCCACCCCCATTTACTTAATTCCGTGTTTGACACCAACAGGGGTTCAAGTATCTCAGGCAGGCTCTCCAGCCTAACTCCCATAGTCTGGCTTGATCTCCATTGTCTGCTGCCAGAGTGGAGCCCACAAACCTCGCAGCGAGTGGTGACCGTCCCGCGGAGTCATTAAAGCTGCGGTGTCAGCTGGGCTGGCACACCTGAGCCCGGGGCTGATCACCATCGCTAATGAGCGGGGGCTCGGCTGCAGCCTGTCACCCTCCCACCCCTCACAGTCACACACAGCACCAGCACCGCCGAGACAACTATTGCTGAGCGTCAGAGACTTTTGACAGATCCCAAAAATAGCTCAGCATTGTTGTCAGTAGTTAATAAACAAAAATAATTCTACCATATTGAGGGACAGTAGGAAATGTGAGCACAGGAACATTTGAAGGATCTTTGTGTCAGCTGCTTAAAAATGGAAGAAAGTTACATGTTTTCGTAAGATTTTGTAGTGTGCCTGATGCATTTTTTACTGAAATAAGAGGTGCACAGCAAAAGCTGCATTCAGGCTACTCTGCATTTCGATACTGCAAAGATCCCAGAGCACATGGAGCATCCTGAGGAAAGCACTCTCCGTTCCTCAGCTGCTTCACTTATGGATTAGGGGCTACTCAGAAGTACCTCAAAAACCACTTCTCCCAAACCTGCCTGCCAAACTGCTCACCAGATGGCTCCAGCCCATGTGGGTCCCACCCAAACAGGTGAGCCACTGCAGAGCAGGTGCTGAAGCACACCAGGGGACAGCAAGCCGCAGGTTTTGGGACAGCACAGCTGCTGCAGCACCGAGATGTCTGTGCTCCATGTGGAACACACTCAGAACAGTCCTCTCTTATTCATCTTCCTTACCCTCCAGGGTATTTTTGTTTTTATTCAGTACCAGTTCATTTCCTGCCACACTTAAGAAATGGTACAATAAATGACTGTAAATATAATCTCACACATTTGTGGTGATCTATCCTAGAAATAATTATTGAGTATGTGCCAGACTCTTATCTCCTGTCTTCCACCTGTTCTGCTCCTGAACTCACTACTCCAAGATTTACTTCCTTTTCCTGCAAAAGTTCTGTTTTCTGTAGCTTCTGATTCTCTTCCTTTTGGAGCCTCTTTTTATTAAACCTGGCTGTTTTGATGAAATTCAGAAAAGAAATAAAGTTACAAGCAGCCTTTCCTTGCTTAAACAAGAAGTCTACAACATAGCCCCAGTGAGCATCAAGTAATTCTACAGACAAAATGGTTCTACTTTTCTAACACTAGAAATCAAATACCAGAAGAAAATATATCCCCCTCCCCATCTCCTGAGGAATTCAACCACCACAGGATAGATAAACCCAGAATTCCAGCATTTAATACTATAGACATTTTTTTCCCAGCTCACAATGCTTTCCATATCCACTGACTCAAAGTATTTCTCTGCTATTGTTTAACACCAGAAGGCACAAATGCATTTACAAAATGACTGTAAGGTTTAAAACCTTACAGTGGTGACTCTATTGGAAGAAAAATTGGCTACAATGAAAGATCTAAGCTCGAAACATTCCATTAGATGTGCTGCTCTTCCACTTACGTTTTTTAAAGTAGATCTATAGCTGCCCACATGACAGATTAATATTGTTCCACAGTAGTTAGGTGCTTGGCATTACATTTTTGAAGCATCTAGAGGCCTTCAGGGCTGAAAGTGTTCCCTTCCTCAGCGATCTATAATGGTTCCTCTAGAGGCCAGCACTCCTTCCCCACAAACGCTGCCTCCATAAATCAGGCTGCACAAGTGGCACTCGGGGACGTCACCATCCATCTCCAGAGCTCCCCTGAAGGACCTTGGGTAAAGATCCCCTCCCAGCACTGCAGCCAGGGAAAGGACCATCACACTTGGCACTGATAAAGCATGTGCTACTTAAATCTGAAGACACACTAAGTCTATGGAAAAAAACACATCCTGCTGGTGTTAGCATGCCTCAGGCACTGGGAGAAGCTTCAGCAACTCATCTTCAAAAGGCAGAGAGCCAGGGCTCTAGAAACCTGCAAAAATTGGCTAAGCCTGCAGTCTTTTTTTATTTTATTATTTTTTTATTTTTTTTTAGTTGAGCATCTTCAAAGTCTACGATTCTAACTGTAGGGCACAGCAGCTGCCACTGCAGATTTGATCCTCTCAGCTTTTGGCAGCTCTCAACTTGAAATTCTAGCAAAAGAATTTTTCAAGTTGCTATTATTGCCTGTCATGGATTTATAAATATTGTGCACTATCTGCTGTGGCATGGCTCTCCTGGGACACCAGTGCATGCCAAAAGCATAACAGAATGAAAAACAGTTCCTATTCTTCAAATAAATGCTAATTTTTTTTTAACTGTGCTCACACGATGCGTTTGGTGATCAGCTTCAATAGTACAGAATATATATCAGAGGCAAAAAAGCTGATTGTCTTTTCCAGTAGTATTCAGCTGCTACTTTCATTAAGCTTGTTTAATTACATTCCAGATGCTAATTTGCAAGTTGATACCAGAGGGTGCAGGACAGTTTGCCTTTGAATCATTTTTCTGTGATGTGATGGTCTTGAAGCACACCACCACCCTCCAGTAGCCCTAGCAAGCTATTCTGACAATTAGTGCAAAAGAAAGGAGCATTGATCTTGACAGAAAAATAATCATTTTCTACCAATTTTATTAAATTAATCTCCAGCAATTTTATCTTCATTGCCATTTCATACCCAGTTTTATGTAAAATATACATAGCATATTTCAGATTTAATTTGGATTCAATTCAATAGAAATATTTGTTATTTTATTAATTTATTGAAAAAAAAGAAACCACATCTGACTTAGAATGTAAATACAAACTCACAGCCATAACAGAATACGAGGAAGTGTTTAAGAGTGCTGTTGAGCTTCATCACCTGAAACTTTGCTGGTTTGGTTAATACAATTCCTGAACTGTTATTAGATAACAGATTAGCCAGGAAAACCAAAGGAAGGGTTAAGGTGCATGCAAGTCTCAAAGATCTAAATATCTATTTCAACAAATTGGTAGGCTGCATTTCTACATGCTTGTTATAAGTGACTATCTGCTGCCACTTATGGTTGTGTGTGAAGACAGTTTAATGAGGATGACCTTTCTAAATAGGAAAATTTAGAGATTTACCAGTTTTTGGTGCCTTTTTCGGTTGCTCTTACACAAGAAATGACTTAAAATCCAAGCTTGAAAGCTAGCTGAGAACAAATGGAAACTTGAGTTGCACAGCACAGCTCTTTGCCATTTGTATCTTGGAAAGAGGACTATTGTGCTGGAGCTGCTGCTTGCAGGGATTTGCAGCCCGTGTTTGCAGAGGATGGCACACGTGCCAAGTGCACAGTCACACAGGAGGCTGGAAAAGGAGACTCATTCTTACAGCAGCACGAGGGGACAGGGAAAAACAGAATCTTCCTCCCTCTCTCTCATGGCTCTATCAGCCATCTGGTGTGAGGATCCTTCCCAGAGACACTTGGGAGCCCATTAAACATATTCCAGTATTTCTGAGAACAATTGTAAATATACTTGAGGCCAACAGTCCAGCGTCTTCAGATGCTGCCCAAATCACAGCAATCCTGATCCCAGTGTGTGTCCCTAACTGTGCACACCTACAACTCTGCCTTAGGTACTGACAGGAGAGGGGCCAGGGATAGCTGGAAAACTGCTTTTTACTAATGCTGAAGCAATTAACTAACGGCAAACTCCTCAAAACAAGGTGGGGCAGCTGACTGCTTTTTAAAAAATCTGCTGGAATTGCCCACTGTGATGTGCCAGGAGATGTACCAAGGTACAAGAGATCACCTCACATTTCAAACTTCATTTATCAGCTTTGTAGAGAGGAACTGTGGATTTATGGGACCATCACCTGGGACCACAGTGCACTTCAAGGGGAGGAAATGACCCACAGCAGCTGCATTACAAAAATGAGGACTGAAAAATCTGAAGACTTTTAGTTGCATTCTCTTTTCAAGACTGAGAGAGAAGGACAGAGGAACAGAAAAACAAAAATATTGACTGCGCAAGGGCTGGTAAATTGCTGAAGTAAACTATAACCAGTAAGCTGAATGTTTTTAAAGTCTTCACCTACATTCAAACTGCATATCTTCCCACACATTAATACAGCTTCTTGCAAATTTATTTATTTTACCCATCCATTTTTACAGCTTTGCAGTAAGCTGACCATAGTACATTTTAAGTGCAGCAAAACAGAGCATACTTACCTTTTTTAGAGTTTCAAACCTCTTAAATTCTTATGCTGTGAGGATTGCTGAGAGAAGAAACACTGAGGTTTAAAACCCAGGACTTACCTCCATGTCGGGTTTGTATTTATCTTCAAACACTGCCATGGCCGCGAGCGATCCAGAACCTGTGGTGACAACACAGGACACCCCTTCAGCCAGTGCATGTAGGGATGACAAGCTTTTAGAGAAAAATACAGTACATCTCATCAGCACGCACCAAGCTGAAGCCCACCATAGCTTCCTGTGCACTGTACAGCGTCTACACTGAGCCAGAACCTGATTTAATCCTGGGGCACAGCTTGTGGGCACAGCCTCAGCACAGGCCCATCCTGACAGCCTTTCCTTCTTACCATCCTGAACATAAGGTACAGAAACGAGGTTAGAAACACAGAGTTAAGGGAATGCCACAGTTTGCAGTCCCTACTCCTCCATCCCTCCCCCTCCACTTCCATGCCTGCCCCTCTTAGAGGGGTGCTGGAATGAGGAGATGACTCCAGCCCTGGGGATGAGCAGCCCAGCAGAGGGAACAGGGCAGGGGGCTGTAGTTAAACAGTTAACTGTGCCCTGTAGTTAAACAGTTAATTGTGCCCCTGCTCTGTGCCATTATTTTTACGATCATGAACAATAACAGCTGAACAAAGTGCCAGACAGAGCCACGAGCTGAACGCTCCTCTCCAGAAAGGACGAAGTACAGGTGCAGTGATGGAACAGGAGCCATCTCTGCCCAAAGCACTGTGACTGCAGGGTTATAAATGTGCTTTTTGTGAATTAACACAAAAAGCAGGATGGTACTATCTGAAACTGTAAACTTGCTTTGTTCAGGAAGAGTGAGCCTTCAGGAAGATTTTCTTGTCTGTCGGTGGCCCTACCCATATTTCAGAGAGCACTACTTTTGGGGAGTGAATAAAGTTACCTGCAATTTTTTACTCCAATTAGAAGATTTTTTGGCATTTATTACTTTTTAACTTGTTTTGCATAGTGCTATCTGTTTAGCTGGGTCACAGAGAAAGCCATATTTCCTATTTAAAATGATTTGTGTACATCGCTTGACCACCTCAATGGTTTAGTGAAAGCAAAAGGCAGCGATTAAACAGTTTCAAATGAGGTGTCCTGCTGATTTTATCAAGTCTGCTGAATGTATAATGAAAAAGGAGAAGCTGACAGTGACACTGTTGAGAAAATACAGACTACCTTAGCTGAACCATTTAAGGAGGTCCAATTATAGATCAAATTTAAAGGGTTGAAACAGCAGATTTACAGACACAAATCAATGAACATGGTAATCCTGATGAATATGACAGATATTCCTGTTACAGAATATTGCTGTGGTTGAGGATCATTACCTTTACAGTACCAAATACATCACATCTAAAAGCAGTAGGACACTCTAAGCATGCACTTGTATTGCTGGCAATGACTATTCATTTACACTTTGGAGCAATACACAACTCCATTTTTTAAATGCTGAAACTGAGAATAAAAATTTTAAGCAACTAATAGCAAAACTGAACTGCTGATGCAAACAGCTGATACCACAGAACAAATCACAAATAAAAGGAATTTTACTGACCCTTCAAACAAGGTCAAAATAAAGCATGTGCCAAAACAAATAAAGGAACCTGAACAATGAAATAATAATTCTTCTGGAATTATATAGGAATATTTCTAATGAGAGGTGGAAAAAAATCCAGGCTATGGTCTCAAACCAAGCCCACATTCTTGCTATTCCCAAATGAAGGCTGACCATGAGCTGAGTGGGAAGCCTCAAAGCTGGAAAACAACCCTATTCTTGACAAAATTAGAGTACAAAGACTAGAAAAAGTGCAAAAAAGAAAGTATAAAATGTAGTATCTGACCAAAATTACTCTGTCAGCTATTTAGTTGGAGAAAAGCGATCTTAAAACTTCAAGTGACGAATAAAAAATTATCAATAACACAATTGCATACATGGCTCATGCTGAATTCCTCCAGCTCCTTTTAAAAAGAAGTTCCCAAAAGAACTATGGGCAGGAAATCAGTAACTTAAAGACAAAAAACAGAAAAAGGAAAAAGGCAGGGGGAATTTTATGTTACAGTACATGAAATCCTTTATACATAAAGAATTACACTTAATTATTTATCTCACTATGTTACCGAGACACAAATAAATGCCAAATCTACTATCAACCTTAAATAAATAAATCCAGACAGTTCTACAATGTAAATTTTCAAAGAGTTGTTTAAAGTCTTAACTTAATTAAACCTACATGTAGACATTTACATCTGAAAACCAAGATCCTAAGGAGGTTCTGGCAGAACAGGAAGCTGGAAAAGCTGAATAGACTCAGCTTCATTTTTCCTCTAGTGCTTAAAAATCCAAAACAAGCTTACATTTAAATTTCCCTTAGCAAAAGCCTCCCAGCACAGCTAAGCATTCTCTGAAAGAAAAGAATTCCCTGATCTTAAACAGCACAATGAAAATTCTTTACTCTTCCTAGCACCAGATGCAAGCCCTGTGTTTTCAGAAACATCAGTCCATGCACACGTGTGTCCTCCATCAGGACAAGGCGTGTTTGACAACAGCACCAGGAGCTGCTGTGGGAACCCCTCCTGGCACACAGGAATCCCCTGGAGCCCAGCAAAGCCCAGCTGCACTGGCCTGGACACGCAGCCACGGGCAGCACGGGCAGCTCCCCTGGAGAGAGCCCTGCCACCTCCCTGTGCCACCCCACTGTGCCCACCTCCCTGTACTATCCCACTGTGCCACCTCCCTGTCCCTGTCCCATCCCACTGTGCCACCTTCCCACTGTGCCACCTCCCTGGCCCTGGTTCCACCTCCCTGTGCCACCTCCCTTGGCCGTGTCCCACTGCACCCATCTCCCTGTCCCATCCCACTGTGCCACCTCCCTGTCCCTGTCCCACTGCACCCATCTCCCTCCCTGTCCATCTCGCCTTCCACCCAGCCCCACAATGCTCCAGCCACTGCAGCTGCCTCCTGAAAGCTGCATTGTGACAGCAGAGTGGGCAATAAAACTGGGAACTTAAGTAAACACTGCAAGCACGGTTTTCTTATTGCTGCTCCTATAAAAACACAGAAAACTTGGATATTAAGGGTCTATGGAGAACTTGTTTGTGTGTGGGGAAACAGCTGCTCTCTTGTCCGTGCACTCGGTGCCCACCAATAACTCATTTTTAACAAGCATGCTTTGCCTTTATGCAGAAACAAGCTTCACAATTCCCAAACATAAAGTCTGCAGAAGGATAAAATCCAAACACAGCAAAACACCATCCATTACCTTGGGATGGACTCCCCACCTCATACAAGGTAACTGATTTGAGTCACTACCCAGTTCACATTCAGCAGCAGTTCAACCTCAAATCCACTAAAACCTCCAGGAAAGCCATGTGATAATGTGTCATTAAATAATGTCTTTACCTGAGCTCAAAGCAGCACCACACCAGGTATTTATCTTAGCTAAGATTTCAAACTAAGCTCTGCAGATGTAGGACATTTTCTTTGCTGGACTTATTTTTTCCATATGTTTAAAGTTTATGTCTCTTCTGTATGTGAGCAATAAGACTAATTAATACAAAGGATAATTAGCAAAGCCATAATTTATTTGTACTGTATAGCATTCAGGAAAAAACCCTTTCAGGTCTTTAAAATCTGCTATCTGCTAAGAATGCTCACAGTTAACATCAAGTAAAAAATGCCGTCTCAATTCCAAAGAATTTACTTTGCATATATTTTCAGTGAGCTACTTCAGAACCAAATATTCAGGAAGCATTAATCTAATATCTACATACATAAAAATATTGACTGCAAACAAATTCTACAGAACTACGGAAGCTGAACTACTCAGAGACAAATGCTTCTCAGTATGAACCAGGTAAGTTATAAACAATAAGAGAATTTAATTCTTTAAGTAACACTGGCCATTTCCTGAATTTTCCTAACCAAGGTGTTAAATTTTCTGCATGCAACTGTAACAAACTGACTTTAAAAATACCATCTGGTCTTCACTTGAGCAGTTGTACCACTTCAGTATTGACTTAAAGTGAAGGATTATTGTTGATATATAGCAAAAAAAGTGCAGCTCACAATAATTTTCATTGTGAATTAAAACTGCAGGAGCTTTTCTAAAGCAGATGCACTGGATCTTTTCAGCAGAACCCTCGCTGAAGACAGGTTCTCCTTGCCGGGTACAGTCCATCTCCTCACCCAAGGACCTGTTTGCTGCCACACCAGAGGATGTGCTGAGCTTTGAGAGCAACATTTAGCACCTCCTCATCCATCACTGCCAAGGCTCCCTGACAGGGCATTTATTCACAGGCACTCATTGTTATTCAATTTGCTGCTCATCCCAGGTAAGGATCCCGTGATCTCGGCAGCCCCTCGGACTGGGATCATTTTTCAGCGTGGCTCCTGGCTGGGGGCTGGCTCCCAGCAGTGGGAGTTCTTGCTCTGCAGCACGACACTGCCACTGCAGTGAAGAGCTGATTTATGAATATGAAGCACCACTGGCACCAGGGGAGCAGCTCCAGCCACCAGAGACTCCCGAGCACTCCGCCTGCTTCCGAAAGCTCAACTGCACACTTCAAGTGCTTTAATTTTATGCATGCATTTCATTATAAGCCTTGGCCAGAAGCTCTCCTAGACAAGCCAAGCAATCAGACAATCTTGCATCGTTTGCTGAAATCCAATTTTGTCCTTTGTCAGCATAAACAGTTTAATTTGATGTTCTCACTCCTGAGTAAGCACTGTGTACCTTTTAAATCTCTCCTGCAAGGCAGGACACCACTGTCCATCCAGACAGACCAGCACACCAAAATAAAACTCAACTTCTCAACCACCCTTCCTATTTAATACTGAACTTCCAGAAGTTAACTGGCCAAACACACCTCCCTTAATTTAATAAACTGCCTTTTGAACTTCTGGGGTAAAATAGACTAATCTATTGTTTTTCAGGGTAAGTAAGGCTGAAATACATTTCCAACTGCTATCTTAAATCTGACTTTTCACAGTTTCTCTGCTGTCTCGATTCTATCTTTCATCTATATGCCTTAGCTAATTGTTCACTAAAGCAGATCCTGGTCACTGGAGGAAGTGCCAGCTCCCAGGGCTGGGAAGGTGAAGGACCCTGATGCTGAGAAGGGCTTTGTCTGGCAGCGTGGCCAAAAAGAATGTGTGGGCACCACACCTGGTACTGCCCAGAGCAAACCGAAGCTTAAGCTCATGGAACTTAACCGTCTGATATTCTGCTTCCCCCTCGTTTGAACCTAACTCTGCTACCATGCTAGTTTTGTGGAGGGAAAGAGGAGCTGCCAGGATTTTCCCGACAGGCCGCATTTTAAAGCTTTTAAAACGGAGGCAGGAAATCTAGCACGTGTGGAGAGCAGAGCGGCTCCCGCGGCCCGTTCGGGCCGGTTCCGCGGCTCCATTCGGGCCGGTTCCGCGGCTATCGCGGCCCCGTTCGGGCCGGTTCCGCAGCTCCATTCGGGCCGGTACCTCAGCCCGTTCGGGCCGGTTCCGCGGCCCCACAGAGCCCCCGCGATGACGTCACGCGCCCTAACGCCGTGCCCGGCCCGCCGGCGCCACCCAGCGGCCGCGCGCCGCCGCAGCGCCCGGCCCCGCTAATTGCGGGCGTTAATGAGCCCGGCCTGCCTGCACCGCCCCCCGCCCGGCACCGAGACACAGCAGCACAACACGAACCTCCGCCACCTCCCGAGCAGGTGTTTCAGCCAAAGATGCCAGCCAGAAACAGAAAATATTAATGAGAATCTATAAATGTGTGTTTTCCCACCACAAAGCAGCATAGAAGCTGCACCAGGCACAGGCTGACTGATGTACTCATCTGATACGCTTTGTTTTCAGATCAGTTCTCTGATACATTTATCTGAACTTTCCCTTACACTTCCACGGCTCTACCAAACATAAGCTTCCCTTTAAAATAACCAAAGTCTTCCAAAAAATACACAAGTTCCCCAAGCGAGATTTGTACGAGCCACGAGTCAGGACAACCTGCAAATCAAGTTTCTGAGGAATTTTTTTTTTTTTTTCTTTCAGCAAGATTTTGGGAATCCCACAATTCTTTAATGCTTTAAGGCCAGAGCAGTGTTCCCAGTACCAGTCTCCTGGCAGCTGAGTTTTCCCCCAGCCCACGTTTGTGAGCCAACAGAACAGCGTGCCTGCCCTACAAACGAGGCACACGTGTGTCTCTGCAGCGTGAGCCCCGGCACACACAGGATGTAAGCGAGCCCCTCGGTCAGTGTGTGAAGCACTCCCCCTGCCCGGCCCGCGGAGCGGCACTCACCCATGGTGACGTAGGGCAGCTTGTCGGTGGATCCGTGCGGGTGGATGCTGTACAGGTGGGGGCCCGTGACATCCACTCCCCCCAGCACCAGCGCGGCCCCGATGTAGCCCTGGTACCTGGGGGCAACGTTTGTCTGTCAGTCCGGAGCCCAGGGCTCAGCTGGGGCTGTGCAACACAACGCAGGGGCTGGGAACTGCTGCCTCCCGTGCTAAACAGGCTGCTTCCACCAGCCGGCAGCAATACAGTAAAAAATGAACTAAAGCACGGCTTGTTTCAGTGAGGCAGTGATTCTACTGCAAATCACTCCCAGTTTTATATAAGCTTGCACATGACTCTGTTACTGGTCCAGCCCTCTCACCACAGCAGTTTTCACGGGTGTGATTATGTATTAAACTAACACCCTTCTATTTTTGTTGTGTGGTCACTACATAATTCTGTAAAAAAACACAGCCTCCATTTCTCTTCTGTCTCAGTTAACAAGCCCATGAAGCAAAGAGCAATTATGAAATCTTTCCTGAAGGCTTGTTATGAAAGTCAAGCAGGCTGAGACAGAAGGCTCCTTAAGCATTATTTGGCGGCTTTACCAGCGCGGGTGACAAACAAGAAACCCCCGCAGTTACCTGAACAGCATCTGCTTGAGCATTCTGTTGGCAGTGACCACTCGTGGGAGCCGTCCCGTGGACAGGGAGTGCAGCTCCAGGTTGGAGGAGATCAGCTGAGTTGTCATCTCAGTGTCTGCAGCTGTGCCCGCACCGCAGCAGCTGAGGAAAAGGAGACACAAACCTCCATGCTTCAGGCAACCAGCAGGGATTTTCTCATCGTAAAACTGAGGGAATTAAGTTCTCGCACGGAGAGCGTGAAACAAGAGAGCCTGCTAAGTGTAAATGGAATACCACGAACCCCCAAGCCTTGCTAATAAAATATCACTTTAAAACAGAGCTTAATATTTGCTCTTAGTAAAGAACGCGGCTAAAACCCCCAGCACCAACATCATTACGCAACAACGTACACAACAAACAATTTACCACCCAACCAAGCACTGTAACACTCACTAGATATTCGGGGAAATGAAGTGGATCTTCGAGCAGTTCTTGTCAGCAACAACCATCCCCTCCGTGGCTCTCGTATCCGCTCCGAGGACGACGCCATCCTGCAGGGAGGGAGGGTCATTCCCACAGCCGCGAGCTGCTCGGGGACGCTCGGGGCAGCCCGGGGGTCGCGGTGGGGCCGGGCCCACCGGGGTGACTCAGCAGCGCGGAGCCTCCGCCGCGGGCCCGGCCCGGCCCCGCCGCCGCCCGCCTCACCTTGAAGATGACACCGGCGATGGTGGTGCCGGTCTTGCGCGGCGCGGGCACCCGCAGCCCCTTCTGCACCAGCTCGGCCTCCAGGAGCGAGTTCCTGCAGCACAGCGGGACAGTGGGGCCGGGCGGCACGGTGCCCCCGCCGCCCGGCCCGGCGGCCCCCGCGCTCCCCCCTGCCCCGCTCCCGTTCCCGTTCCTCTCCCGGCCTCACCGAGCGCAGTTGTCGAAGCTGAAGCCGCCGGCGGGCGCGCACAGCACGGACACGGCCGCCATGTTCCGCCGGGCACGGGGGGGCCGCGAGCGCTTCCGGGGCAGCGAAATGGCGGCGGGGCCGCGCTGAGGGAGGGGCGGGGCCGCGCTGAGGGAGTTGGGCTCCGCCCGTACAAACTGCGTGAAACGGACCCGAAACCGACCCGAAACCAACCCAAAACCGACCCAAAACCAACCCTAAACCGATCCCAAACCGACCCCAAACCGACCCCAAAACGACGTGCTGGGAATGGAATGGTTCTGTGTCAAAAAAAAAAAACAAACCAAAAAAAAAAAAATTTTCAAAGTTGCAGGAGTTCTGCTGTATGTCACTAAAATTATTTTAATGCTTTGTGAGTAAACTACATCCAGCCTCCAGTTTAACTTCTCCTCCAATGTCCCGAACCGTTAAAGGAATGCTCAAATGTATCCACAGAGAACAGAACCTCTGGAACATCTGCAGAAAGGATGTGCTTTAAAGCAAGGCAGAGGAGTGAGATTTTTCCCAAGTTCACACATAGCTGCTTCCTAGATGTTAAGTGCCTGCAATTAAAAACCTTATTGATTAAAAAAATAAAGTGCCATTTGTTCCAAACATTAAATATTAATTACTTGACACCCTTTCTCTGGCAGGAAAATGGACCCGGGGTCCTCTGTGTCCAAGCAGATCTGCATGTCTGCTCTGTCCCTCCTAATTACTGAAAAATTATTTTTCTCCAGATGAACAACAAATATGGGGTGGGTGGGCAAAGCTACTGGGCAATGGCTACTTTTTCCTCCAATGCTCAAAAACACTTGCCAGTGGGAGAGAACAAAAACAGAGAAGAAATCCAAACCCCAGCCTCTCTCTTGCTTGTGCCAGTCTTGCAGGAAAAAGCCACCAGAGCAGGCAAGACCGTCCCTAAAGTGAAGACACAGGGAGCTGTGCTCTGCACGCTCCTCTCCCCTTCTGTCAGCCCTTGGGGAACTGAAATCCCATGTTCTTGTGCACCAGCAGAGCTGGGAAACTCTGAGAGACAGAATATCCTGCTGCCAGATGCTCTTTTTTCATTCTAACACCGTTGTTTTTCTCTTCACTTGATAAAGTTAAAATAAACAGTCTCTGGGGTGAATTACAGGCATCAAAATTGGATTGGCATGTAAACTGAGGAGCAGTTGGTGGTGGGGAGTCTGGGGAGAAGGAAGCAGCAGGTTTTAGCTAGAGGGGACAACAGCTTTATTTCCCTTTTGGTCCTTGACAACCAAGCAGATGTCCTACAATTATTGTTTTACCTTCCAGAAACACAGTGCCTTCCCCCTCCCAGGTGCCCACAGATGTGCAGGTGCCTCTCCTCCCTGCCCAGAGCCCCCCATGTGCACCCCCAGCTCCATCTATGGCTGGGAAATGCCTGGGATCGGACTCAGGCTGATCCTTGTCTGTCCCTCAGCTTTCCTGGGATACCTGTTCCCAGTCCTGTTGGTGTGGATACAGCTGATGGGCTGGAGAATAAAATCTTTGACCGTCTGACGTGGGCTTTTCCACAGCTGTGGTGGTTGTGTACAAAGTGTTGTGCAGAGCAGTGCCTTGGCAGTGCAGCAGCTCTGGCTGCAGACACGGGTGTCCTCGAGAGCCCTGGCAGCACAGGGGGGTGGCAGGAGGTGTCCCCGGGCACCCCCTCTGTCCCTGGGCACCCACTGAGCAGGGCTGGAGGGTGGTGCTGCTCTGACGAGCTGGGGAAGTCAAAAAGTCCAAAAAAAAAAAAAAAACCACTGGGGAGGAAAGTGTTAAATTCAAGTTAAATTCATTTTTAATGCTCTGGTCCCATCTACAAAGAAGTGCTTGTTATACATCTGGGAACACCTCAGAGGGCTGCACACCTCAGAGCTCTCTTAGCTTGCTGTGATGAGCTGCACTCCAGCCTGAAAAACGCAAACTTCTCTCTTTGTATTTTTTAAAAGCAGTCCTGAAATCTGTTCCTAGCCTTAGCAAAGCTGCAGTCCAGGTTTATCATCCTACAAGACATCTGACAGGGAAGTTAAATAGCACTCCAGACAGGTTTTTTAAACTTGGGATGGGAGGAATGTTTGGTGCTGTCTCAGCAGGTGGGCACAGGAGCTGGGCTCTGTCTTCCCTGCGTGTGTCAGGCACAAACTCCAGGAATTTCGGTGTCTGCGCTGACACCTGCCTGCTCTCCCACTTCTGTGCTCAGTGCTTCCTCGAAGTGTGAATGACAAATGACATCTTGAATTCTTGGACCTTCTCAAGAGGCACTGTGTGGCTTGGAAGGTCTGACAGAATCTTCAGCGTGGTTTTCCCCTGCGGAGCTGGCGCCTGCTCTTGCAGTGTGAGAGGCAAACGTGCTGCTGCAGGGCAGCTAGAGGAATCACCAGGCAACTTTTTTCTCTCTAGAATGAAGGAGTTAGAAAAAGCCAAGCCTTACAGGGTGAGGCTGGTCTCTGCACCACCCAGCCAGCCCTGCCCAGGACAGGTTTTCCTTAGGGCTGGTCGGAGGCAATGCAAGCTGGCCAGGAGGGAAAGCCCTGGTGCTGCTCCTGGCCCCTCAGCAGGGCTGTGTCTGGTGCCTATTCCAGCACACTCCTCCTTGCTGTGTGGTGCTCCTGACTCCCAAACCAGCCAGCAGCTCCTCTAATGTCCCAGGGTGAACTTGTGTCAGGAGTGGAGCCAGGCAGGGAGATAAAGGCTGAGCTGGAGAATAAATGCACCATGTGTCTCTGCTGTTCCAAACCACTCCAATCTCAAACATCTCGCCTCAACAACGATCTGTTAACGAGCTGCAAGCCAAGAATCTGTCAGAAGAATTTAAATACAATTCTGACAGGATCAGAACTAGATAGACTCAAACTTTACCAACCTGTGGCTAAACCAAAGCTAATGGAGAAAGTGTTTGCCCAGGCAGGACAGAAGGTGAGCTTACTGGGATCTTCTTCATTGCAACTGAAACTCCCAAAAATAGATTTATTTGACATATTTAAATCCATCAGAGGAAATAGAGTGTTGATTTGAGTCCAAGAGGGTGCCTCCATTACTTTGAAACTGAAAGAGGTTGAAGCAGGAGCAGAGAAGTGGAGCAGCAAGGGGATGGTGTGAGATGTGAGGGAAGTTCCACAGAGCTCCTGAAAGAGCCATTTCTGAATGGGAACAGCCCCTGGCAGAGGTGTAGGTGTGAGAACAGGCTGTCTCCCTCCATGGGACAGCACGGCAGCAAACGGGGCGTGAGGGGGGATTCCCAGCCCAGGCTGGGAATGTGCCCTTGGGTTATCTGAGCTCCAAAACTCTGGGGACCCCGGAGCTCAGCTGGGCACCGTGGCCTTGGGCTTTCTCAGCACCTGTGCTCCTGCAAACTGATGTGGAACTGCTCCTGCCAGTTGTTTGTAGACCCTCCAGTCTTGTGACTGACGTGATTAAAGCCAGTAAGGAGATGGTTTCTCTCTGCCAGGCTCCTGCAGAGAAGCCTGGGCCATCTGCTGAATGGTCTGTTGTGTTTCTGGCCGCTGCAGCTCTGCTGTTGTGCAACAGCCACGTATGGAAAGCTTTAGCCTTTCATGTGAAAAACGGGAAAGACAGATGCAATCTGGGTCTGATATTGTCCTTGTATTTCCTCTCATCTCTCAGGAGCTCTCTCGTTGCTGCCTTCCCTCACTCTGAGCACCAGAGCTCCTCTTTTCACTTGATCAAGCAGGCACAGCCACTGTCCCCAGGTCCAGATCCCTGCTGAGGGTGTTCCTCAGCAGCTCCAGAGGATATGAACCATCTCCCCGTGATGGTTGTGACCTCAGCCTGTGCACATTGGCACCTCGCAGAAATGACTGTTGGCAGAGTTGTTCCTAGCTGTCATTCCAGGTTCAAGTAAATGCACAGTGGGTGTCTGGTTAAGCCAGCAAAACCCCTTCACTAGAAAAGTATGGAAAAAAGGTATCAGAAAGATTTAGTGTTTCAAAAAGGATCAGAACCAAATGCCCTTTCTTGCTGGTAGGAGGATGGGAGACTTAGGAGTAGTTAGCTTGACAAAAAAAAAAAAAAAACAAAAAAACAAAACCCCCCCAAAAAAAAAAAAAAAAAAACACCAAAAAGATGAGTAATACAGTCAGCTCCTGGTTTTTTTTTTTTTTTCTATTAAGTTTCTGGGCTACACAGATTTGTGAATGATGGCACTAAATAAGCAGCCATGCCCAAGCTCCCTGAAAGGCTCTGTAATATCAGCAGCTGATGTCCCACTGCGCAGGGACACAATTGGGTCTGTTCCTCCAGACAATACACCTGCCACAGGAAACAGAAAGCTGGCAATTAACGGGGAGGCTCTGTGTTGGGCTTTCATCCCAGACAATGAGAAGGGCCTGGAAGAGTGAGATTAAGGCTGGCATGTCCACATGAGATTGCTGAAACAAACCTCGCTGAGACTTGGGGGCGTTTAAGAAGCAAAAACAAGAAAAGAAAACCCTGGTTAAATCTAACTCTGCAAACAAGTTAGAAAGGAAAATAGCCCTGGAACAGGATTCTTTGTATTAGAAATGTGAGTCTGGAGGTGTAGAGGAAACTTTCTTCTCAGCTGAGATGTCTTGTAGCTGTCAGTGTATCACAGGAAATTAAAGCAAGTGAGGCTCTGCACTCAAGGGCTGCGGAGTTCTGGGAGCTCTGCATTGCTCAGCCAGGACCAGGACGAAGCAGCAGCCTCCACAGACAAGATTTTTTACCTAACTAATGCAAGTTCCATGCCTGGGGACTCCATAGCTTGCACTCTGGGTGTTTAAAGGTCTCCCAAATGACTGGCCCTACAAAGGCCCTGGGAGCAGTGCAGCAGCAGTGCAGTGACACAAGTGCCAGTGGCTGCTTGTCCTGAGCCTGGAGGGGAGCAGCTGTTAGAAAGGAACTCATTTGGTCTGCAGGTCTCAAACATTTTTTTTTTCTCCTGGTGAAGGTGCTCTTCCAACACACAGAAAAGCTGGAGGAAAATTAGGAAAATCTTTTCCTTGGTATCAGCTCCATCCCCCCAGGATGTAACTTAGGACTGCAGAGAGCTGTAGATTTTCTGTGCCAGGAGATGGTTGGTACAGGCAGGCTCTTGAGACCTCCCTGGGCCACTCTGTCCCCTTGGAGAGGTTTTGCTCTGCCTGTGACCTTGTGCCCTCTCCCCTCAGCTTCCTAGGGACATATCCATCACCTACCAGGCTCTTGATGGGAATCCTGTAGCATCAGGAAGTTTGGGCAACCCTGATGTGACAGACTTGAAAGGAGAAGGGGAGAGGAAACTAAGAGAAATCGACAAATAATGGCATTGCAAAAGCTGCAGGTGTCTGGCTATAAAATCACATCAGGGCAGACCTCCAGCGTGCAGGGTGAGGAATAAACTTGTTTGCATACCTGAAGAATAGCTTGGGCACGTGTCCTGCCTGTCCCTGCCCTGCTGAGCTGTGGATGGGAGATGGCACCTGCCAGCCCAAGCCCAAAGTGCACTTGATGGCTGCTGCAGGGCCAGGCTGTGCAGGCACAGAGCTGTTTGCTAGGCAAGGGCAGTGTGGGGTCAGGTGCTGGCCCTGTGCCTTTGTCCACAGGGGCTGGGACACTTGTCTGGGTTTGTCCAGGCACTGCTGCTTCTGCCAGCCTGATCCGTGTGAGGGTGGGTGTGTGAAGAGCTTGCTGGGGTGGCAGAGATGGGATGTGCTGCCCTGAGGGCTCCCTGGGAGCCCCTGGAGCTGTGCCATGACCTGAGCACTGCAGGGCAGGGCTAATTGCCTCCTGAGTGCTGATGGATCTTCTTTTGGGAGAGCTGGCATGGAGAACCCGCAGCAGCACAAGCCAGCAGCAGCCTGTGAGACACTCAGATGTGTGAAAGGGTACAATAACTGTGGTATGGCAGTGGTGTGACACACTTACACAGCCCCAGTGCTGGGGAGGGGGGTAAATCTGTACCTCTTCTACTGGTGCCTCCTGAGTCAGCCCTTGAGAAACCCTGCCTTGAGTCAAAACTGATTCTGATGAAAGTTTGGGTGACTCTAAAGTTGAGTTGGGTTAGAGAGTGTCAGTTCTGAGCAGTAAACAGCAGGACAAAAAAGACTGGAGGAGAATAATATGTACAGCTGGGCCAGGAGAATGCTGTTTTGAAGGATAACTCTGCAAGGGACAGACTTGCACATGACTGAGTGATCTCTGACACGCTCCGTGCTTTGTTCCATTTCTCAGTGCATCTTGCTCAGACACATGGCTTCTACTCCATTTGGCAAATATTTGATTTATAAAGATTAACATGTTGCTCGCCCATGTGCTGGGAAGGGTTGTGTGAAAAATGTGCCTTGAGGGTGGCAACTCAGGGTTCACTCACTGCTAAGGAAAGGTTCCTTAAAATGCACCTGAGCTGATTTTTTAAATTGACTGAATGTAAACAGAACTGCAACCTCTTCCAAACCAAGCTAACCCAGAGTGACAGCATCACCCAAATGGCACAAAACGACTTGCCCTTTGCTCAGCTGCTTGTTAGAGAGATTTACCAGCATTAAAAGTGCTTTGGGATTCTGCCATCCAACCATCCCAAGGTCGTATGTCTGCTTGCCAAGGTCTTCATGTGCTGGACAGACACCTCTTGACTCTGGGAACTCTGTCATTGCTGATTTGTGTTAAGATGGATGAATGAAGGTGATTCCAGAAACTGCAGTTGCCCTAAGGAGACAGCTGACTGGCTTTGTGGGAATTAGTGCTGATACAGTGAGGAACTGCCAGCACTGATGGCAACCAGTCTGCTCCATGGCAAGGAGCAAACAGCTGGCAGTGCCCATGAGTGCTTAGAAATGGTCTGGAGAGCCAGGAGGTCCAAAGGAACCACACTTCCTGGGCTGTGCTCTCCAGGGCCTTCTCAGTGTGATTTTAGGTGAAGCACAGTGAGATGCCAACTGTTGGTTTCCACTTGCTGGCTGTGACCTTTCCTTTGAAATGCCAGTGATGCTTTCTTGCCAGGGTCTCTAGAGCCATCCTTGATGCCAGCCAAAGCATCAAGCCTTATTTGAAAGTCCATTGTACACTTATGGAAATGAGTTTATGTTTAAATCCAGATAACTGGTGTAGGTGAGTTTGGAAACCTGGGTGGCATTCAGTGATCACAGCAAACTTCTCTTCACCTCTCTGCATGTGCACAGGGGAAGGTTTATTTGAATAAACACAGAAGAGTGAGGCTGAGGGCTTGATCCCTTTTCTGATGCTACCAGAAAACTGTACTTTGTGCCCTTACAAAAGGTGATTCATTCTCTCTAAGACACAGGCACAAAGACCGCAGTTTTGCTGTCTGCTGGGAAACTCTAACTCTCATTAAACCTAACCCAGCCCTAAATTTCAAATCATTTTGCAGTTTCCCTCTGAAGATCTTTGGTGTAAAGTTGGGCTCTGCCTCATGCCCTTCGCTCCCTCCATTACCAAGGGAAGCAGGACCCAGTTTTGGCCGAGCCACGGTGGGCAGCAGAGCTTTCTGCAGGGCTGCCATGGTGTTGGCAGGCCCCTGGCGCTCTGTGCCACGCTGCCAGGAGTGCCAGGCCATTTCCCAGCTGGCACCTAAGCACCAGAGCAGCTGCCTCCAAGGCCCATTCTTCTGTGGCAGATTTATTGCCAGGAGCAGAGGCGTTGGGATGGGAAAATCGCCTTCATTCCCAGGCGAAGACCCTGAAGAACAAAAGGCAGTTGCTGGTGAATCCATGGTGTGATCCAAGCATTTCCCGGGACGGGAGGAGTGGGAGCTGTTGTGCCTGTTGCTGTAGCAAGAGTGGGTGGGCATCAAGCAAAGGAGCAGCTCTGGCTGGCGAGGTGGGCAGTGCCACGGCCATGGGGGTGACCTGACCCTGCAGCCTTGGCATTCTCCCCGGGGCAGCTGCAGGCTCCGGAGTGAGGGAAGGCCGGAACGCTGAAGCTGCTGGGCGAGGACATCGCCCCAGGAGCCCACGGGACATCTCCAGACCCATCCCTCTTCACCTGCACCCCCGGGCCCTTTTGGGCTCTTTCTGCTGTGAGGATCCCTGATCACTTCTTTGCCATGATCATGCGCCAGATTTTCTGGGAAGGTTTATTGGACACTTCTGTGGAGCAGTGCCTGCCAGGGAAGAAGATCCCGGTGGTGCTGGCACAGCGGAGCAGGGAGGGTCGTGAGTGCTTTGCTGCCGGCCGTGGGGCGGGCAGGAGGGGCGCCCGGGCTGCGCTGTGGGGTGAGGACGTGGGCAGGGGGCTGCGGGCACCCAGCAGCGCCCGCGGACTCGGAGTCGCCGTCCCGCTGCCAGCGGGCCCGGGGCGGGGAGCGGCGGCACCTGCGGTGCGCGGAGCCCGGCGGGGCTGCGAGGGGCCGGAAGAGGGGAGCGGGGAGCGCAGTGGGGAGATGTGCGGAGCGGGGAGCGATGTGCCGGGTGAGGGGGGCTGTGCGGAGTGGGGTGCCGAGCGGGGTGCGGAGTGCTGTGAGGAGCGGGGTGCGGGGTGCGGAGCGCTGGGAGATTTACGGAGCGGGTGCGGAGCTGTGGTCCCGCGGAGCGGGTGCGGAGCGGGGTGCGAGGTGCGGGGAGCGGGGAGATGCGCGGAGCGGGGTGCGGGATGCTGTGAGAAGCGGGGTGCGGAGTGGGGTGCGGAGTGCTGGGAGATGTGCGGAGCGGGATGCGGAGCGGGATGCGGAGCGGGATGAGGAGCGGGATGCTGAGCGCGACGCGGAGCGGGATGAGGAGCGGGATGCGGAGCGGGATGCGGAGCGGGTGGGGAGCCGCGGTCCCGCAGAGCGGAGCGGGCCCCCGCCGTTCCCGTTCTCGCTCCCCGGACACCGCCGCCCCGCCGGGCTGTCGCGCCGGTCCCGCCGTGGCCCTGCCCGGGCTCCCAGGGGTGCCCCAGCCCCGGGGTGCCCTGGGTCACTGCGCTCGGCCCACAGGGACGCTGGGCTCTCCCAGCTGGGTCACCGGGCACCCCTCACTGCCCGTTTGTCCTGCCCAAACCGCGTTCCAGTTTCCTCCGCACGTCTCCAGGTTCCTCCGGGGAGCAGCGGACCCCTGAGGCTGCGGGTGCGGGCTGAGCAGGGGGGAATGGCGGTGCCGGGGCTCCCTCTCACCCATCGGATTTATACTTTCCCCTGGGGGCCAAGAGCTCTGTTGGGTGTTTCCAAAGCCTCCGCTGAACTTTGGAAGGCTGTGAGCGCAGAGCCCGGGCTGCAGAGCGGATCTCCGAAGTCCCTTAGCAGCAAAGCGCTTAAAAGTGCTTTTACAGCGGCCCCGGGAGAGCCCGCGGGAGCAGAGATCGCTGCCAGCCGGCGGTGCCCGTGCCCACAGCTTTAGCGCTTGTTTGCATTGGCGTTGCCAGTTCCCATCTTGTGTCTTTACGTGCCCTCATCTATGATTTTACTGGGCTTTTTACTGTCTGCACTCAGCGTTTCCTCCCCCTGGGGCAGAGGTGGGGAGGTGGGGGATCGCTGCCAAGCCCTGAGCCTGGCAGCTCCCCGGGATGGCTCCGTGGTGCAGGGCTCTGTGTTTGGGCTCACAGAGGCTGGATTTGCTGCTCTGCGGGCTCTGCTCTGGTGCTCTGGTCCTGCAGGTCTTAAAGGCAACGAGAAAAGCTGTCAGTGATGCAACAGTTTAATGATTCCATTTATGGTGGCTTTTTAATTTAGTTAATGCAGATGAAGAGGCTCTGCGATCTTGCCTGTTCCTTAATATTGCACATCTCTACGTTTTATGCTTAATTATTTTGTATCCTGCAAACTAATGTTAAACTGAGACCTTAAGGTCTTCAAGAAGATCTGGGAATTCTTTGGATAAGATACTATTCAGGACAGGTATTTCAGAGGGAGTAATTGTCTCCTTTTTGTTTCGAGACTTTCTGAGGAAAGCAGCATTGTCAGGGGATGCCATTTCTACGGAATGCTTCTGTCTCCATGAAGCATCTCCAGTAATACTTTATTTATTCTAGCAAAGAGTGAAATCTTCCCAGCTGGTCAGCATGTTTAGGAGAGATTTGAGACCTCATTCTTACTTCTTCAGCTTTCTGGTGAGTATTACCTTTTTTTTTTTTTTTTATTATTCTGGGAATTTGAGATAATGTTTCTCTGAATGTTACAACACATCCTCTCCACCAGGTCGCTCTGTCCAGGAGTCTCCTTGCCTTTGCAGCCCTTGCTAAGAACCAGACTTCCACAGGTTAGTGTTTTTGTCAGCACTCTCTCTGTGTTTTACAAGCCATATCCAGCACAGAGAAAGAAAAGGTGTCTGGTGGTGCAAACAAAGGTAAAGATACTTCTTCTGTTACCCTGTTTTGTGCCTAAAATGCTGTTTGCAGAGCTGGTATTTGCAGGGCTGTTTGCTCAGCTGCTGCTCTGTGCCCCACTGCATCTCAATGCAAACAGATTATTTTGTGCCTGAAAATTGCATCTGCAAGTGCAGATACTGGGATGAGCTTTTTGGGGATAAAGCAAGTAAAGTTGTTTTTTTGCACAACTGCTTTGAACAAGCTCTTCTGAGGCCATCCCTGGGCATAGCAGAGTGAGCTTTTCCTTTGTGCTGAGCTTAGCATGGTGTGTGTGTCCTACAGGAGTGTGGCCAGCTCCAGCCCTGGGCCAGAGAGCAGCCACAGGCACCCTCAGCTCAGTCCGTATGGTCTGAGCTCTGTCCCGCTGTGCCCAGGGGCTGCATGGGGACAGGAGCTCCTGCCAGCAGCTCCTGCAAGGTGCACGAGGCAGTGTTTTTAACAGTGGGCTGGAGAGGCTTTCTGTTTCCCCAGGCTGTGTGTGTCCCTCTCCAGGTTTTGCTCCTGTCACAATCGAGACCGCGAGACACACGTATGAATACGTGGCCACTGCTCTGGACTGGTGGCAAGCTGACAGGTACTGTGAGCAGCACTTTGCTCAGCTGCTCTTTGAGCCCCAGGACAGTGAGCAAGGCTCCTTCAGCAGACTGCTGCAGTCCCACCACATCAGAGGCTCTGTCTGGCTGAAGGAAAGGGACAGCGTCCTGCACAAAACAAAGAGGAGACGTGAGTATAAGTGGGCATGGGCTATTTAGAGATGTTTTCATACTGAAAAATATGACTGGAGAAGTTGTCCCTTGTTTTTCTTTATTCTCACTTTATTGGCCTGCGCTTCTTCCTTGCTGCTGACTGAAATTCCTCCTTCTAGGTGGCCACACTGTGCCAGTCTTGGTATTCGGAGACAAAACAGACACCAAGTATGTGAAGGTGCTCTCTGAGTTCCCGGCACTGCCTGCTGTCACAGCCTGTGCCCACCTGCAGTGGGACACCAGGACGCAGGAGGTGGCCACCATCTTCTCCTACGCCGTGCCTGCCTTCATGAACGAGTTCCAGCTCCGTGGCTTTGCAGATGAGGAAGGCTTTGTTCGCTTTGCTCTCATCGTCCACGGGCACCATTCCCCTTACCTGCCTGTGTTCCGTGCTGACGGGCGGTGGCATCACTTCTGTGTCACCTGGCGGCAGCAGAACGGCACCTGGGCCATCTACGCCGATGGCAAAAGGAGGGCAGCAGCCAGTGGTTTGTGTTCTGTGGGACCCTCTGCCCCCCAGCCCATCTCTGGCCAGGGCACCTTCATCATTGGGCAGGACCAAGATTCCCTGGGGGGCACCTTCAGGGCAAAGGAGTCCTTCAGTGGGAACATCACTGACCTGCACATCTGGCAGAGAGTCCTCAGCACCGAGCACATCGAGAAGGTTCGCTCCTGCTGGGTGGTAGAGCAAGACCTGGTTTTTGGGTGGAGCTCAAATGCCCTGGAAGTGGAGAGCACTGTTCAGGCAGTGGCCACGCAGCTTCTTTGCCCAGGTAAGTCTCAGTATCCTCCACAGTGGCTGCTATCCTGGCTCTCAAGGCACAGCCCACAGCGTTTGCTGTGCCAGGGCCTGTGGGTTGCTGCAGGAAAGGTGATACCTGCTGGGATGGTGTGTCCCTGGGACACCCTTCTGTCTGCCTCTGTTTCCACAGGGCCCGTGGAGGAATGCAGAGTTTTGGAAGTTGGCAGCAGTGGATTCAGTTATGCATCTTGTTTGCAGACTTTGCCTTTCATCTGTCACTACAGCAAGGGTACAGCATCTGTTGCTTATTCCTGCCTTGCTGCCACCAGGCACACTGCTGGAGGTCCTGGGCTGGTGGCCAGGGATGGGGAGGCCCCTGCTCTGAAGGGGTCACATGCAAAACCCTCTGGGGCTGGCACTTTGCTGCAGCTGCCTGCACTCTGGCAGGGGGTTTGGCTGTTCCCCAGCTGGGCTGGGAGTGCTGGTACACCCTCCATGGCTTCTGGCTGCAGGGCTGTGAGTGCTCCCAATCCAGGCATTCCCAGACTCCTTGGCCAGGGGAGCACGGGGAGAGGCAGAAAAGGAGTGTGAAACTGTCTCTCCAGATGGGATCTGGTGCTAAAAATAAAATACAGCTGTGAAGTCTCCTAGTCCTCCCTGTCCTGCAGACTCAGCCACCATCTGAGGACCCCTGCCCAGGCTTTGAACGTGGCATGTGTTAACCACGCTGCTGGACACCTCAGCAGGGGTTCTGGTTCTGCTTTGTCCCCAGATGCATACTGGCAACTGAAAAGAGCTCAGCTGGAGTCCAGCCACTCGCTCGCCAGCCGTGTGAACACCCTTGCAGTGAGGACAGTGGTGAGTCCTGCAGCCCCAGCAGTGGCAGCTGGCACCTGCAGCAGGCAGGAGCTGCTGAGGTGGGCGTGCTGGCACCTAGAGCTGTTTGAGGTCGCTTTGCCAGCAGTTCTGCCTGGGATCTTTCCTGAGCTGCTGCTGGAGATTGTGACCAGCACAGCTGTAACTTCTGCTGTGATCAAACAAGTAATGTTGCTTCAGATTGACTCATCTCACTGAGGATGGGAGTCTGGACAAGAGATCCTTTCCCCCAGGGTATTCCTGGTTGGCCAGAGAGATCCTGATGCCAGCAGGGGCATGCAGGGCATTGCCAAGGCACAGCTGAGGAGCAGGGAGAGTCAGGGCTCTGCACTGAACTAAACCATCTTTTCCATGACAGATTCCTGACAGCATCTTCATGAGTGGTGTGCAAGACATGAACCTCTCTGTGGCTCTTGATGCTCTTGATATCTTGGCAACTGTTCTGAGAGAAGGAGAAGTGCCCGTGCTTGAGCCATCTGACCTCCTTGCAGTCCTTCAATTACTAAAGCAAGTGTCAGATTTGGAAATCCAGGAGGGAGATGAGCTGGAGATGTTGGAGCAGTTGGGCCAGTATTACATGGAAGTAACTGAGTTAATTCTGGAAGAGCAGAACACTGGGACATGGTCACTGATCAGCCAGGTAATGGTGTCACCATTGTGACTGCTGTGTGCTCATCCTTGGCTGCTGCACCACGCCAGGCTGGCTCTGCTGTCCTTGCACGGCCACCTGTGGCCCTTGAGGCCATGCTGAAGCATGGAAAAATGCTGCAAGCACGGCATGGAGCCTCTTCAGCAGCTCTGAGCAGGGCCAGCTGCTTTCCTGGTGCCTCACTGCGGGAGGTGCAGCCAAGTCCTCGTGCAAACAAGGGCAATGCTAGTGGTGCCTCCCTTGCAAACCCCTCAGGTGGTTAACTCAGCTCTCTTCGAGTTCTCCACTTTGCCAGTCTGGATTGGCAGTTTGCAGATTCCTGGGGCTGTTTCCTTGCTCCCACATCCTGCTGTCTGGCAGGGACATGCCCTTCCCTTGCAGTGTGTTGTGTTTTCTGTGGATGGGCTGTTTGTCATCAGCCCCCTCACTGCTCCAAACAGGCTTTGCATAAGGGATTCCCATCATCCCACCCCCGTGAGGTTTTTCTCCATGCTCATGTGTGTTTTTTGTGCCTGGTGCAAGGTCTGCACTCTCCACCTGCCTCTGAAAATGTGTGACAGTGTCTGGCCTGTGCCCCAGGAACCAAGCCAGGGAGATCCAGAGATGATTACAGGATGCTGGGCAGTTCAGAGCTCAGTGCTCACAGCTGCCCAGGTCTCCATGGCCACAGTCACTCCCAGCTTCCCAACGGTGGCACAGACCCAGCTTGGCCCAGTGCAGCTGAAAACCTCTGAGGGAGAAGGGTGGGACTGTGCACTGCAGGGTGGCACTTGTGCATCCAGCACAGCAGGACCTCGAGCAACGGGGCCACTCTTCTGCTGCCCTCAGCTGCAGAGTCTATTTCTGGGTGAAACCTTTTCCAGGAAGAGCAGATGGTTGTTCTAGAGCTTGGTGAAAATCAGGACTCAAGTCTAAAGGTCTTTCTTTCCAGAAGCTCATTTATTTATTTGTTTCCATGCTGTTTTAATGGCTTTTTATGCAGAACAGCAAGTTTCCTTCATTGCCAGACCTGTCTCCTTGCTGGAGGAACTGGGAACATCCTTCAGTAAAGAAATCACAGAAAAGCAAAGCCAAAGCCTTGAGTCTCAGCTTCTCTCTCTCTCTTTTTTTTTTTTTTTTTTTTTTTCTGCCAAGCACCAAACATTTAAGGACACTCTTGTGAGCTGTGGGAAGGGAGGGCTGAGGGTGCAGGTGCTGATTTCCATCACTCTCTCTGTTTTTGCAGGTTATCAGGGGGCCCATGGCTGTGGTTGAGCTCTGTGACAGGATGGTGTCACTCTTGGTCCCACTGCTGACCACAGAGAGGACAAAGATCACGATCCAGCACGGGAATATTGGTGAGTGGCACTGGAGGGCATCACACCAAGACCCAGATCAGTCACCCTGTCTGGTTCCCAGCCCAAATCCACGCCTGGCTCCTCTCCTCCTCTGGCTCACCTCTTGCCAGCCCTGCAGCCTGCTCCCCATTTCCTCTGTGCAGAGTCAGAGTGTGAGGGCCCCTCTCAGGCTGTGGATTGTAGGAAACGTTTGAGCCTGGGGGAAGCAGAGCCCAGATGCCCCAGGTTTGCACAGAAGGGGTCCTGCCTGCTGCTGCTGCTGCGGGTCCTGGCTGGTCTTGGCTGGGATCACAGTGTCCTTGTGGTACTTTGCTGCAGCAGCAGCTCTGGAGGAAGGCTGAACCCTGGCTCAGCACCTGATTTTACCTGTGCTCAGGGATGGAGGTGAGGGAGCTGGAGCTGAGCGAGCAGGAGCTCAGTGGGCAGGCATACGTGGTCCAGACCCCTGAGAAAGGCAGGCACGACCTCATCGAAGTTCCTGTGGAGGAAATGCAAAGGCTGAAATCCAGAGGTTAGTGACCACACCTGAGCTTCCCCTGGTACCTCTGCGTGCCCCTCCTTAGTGGCACAAACTCCTTACCTTGGCCACATGAGGTCTGGAGAAGCGTGGGGAGGGGATGCCCTTGGCAAAGGGAGCTGGGCAGTGCGGGAGAGGGTCTGTGCAGCCCCTCTAGAGGCTCAGCTCGGAGCCGAGGGTGTTCTGGACGCCGTCATCTCCCCCAGAGGAGGGCAGCGGTGTCCAGCGCTGCCCTGTGCTCCGTCCCTGTCCCCGGGCTGTGTCCCTGCAGGTCTCCACAGGGTCACAGTGAAGAACATGTGGTTTGGCTACGGCTCCCTGCAGCGCTGCCTGTCCGGCAGCGGCGCCAGCGCGGTGTCCCAGGAGCCGGCTGCCCCCGGAGGGGGACAGAAGTGAGTGGAACAGAGCCCCCCGCACCCCAGGGCTGCCCTCAGAAGAGCTCGTTTTCAAATCTGCATTGAGCCGGTGCCTCGATTTCGGGGTCACCTTCCTCCCCATCCATCCCAGCCCTCGCACTGCCTGTGCGCTGAGGTGCCCCGTGGGGTGCCCTGCGTGCCCCTGTGTCCCGCGGGTGGCACAGAGCCACAGGGGCAGGGTGCCCCGTGCCCGCTCAGAAGGTGTCCCCGGGGATGCTGGCTCTGCGGCGGGGCCGGGCTGGCGGCGCTCCCGGAGCTCCGAACGCTAGGTGGGGATGGCCGCCCGCGCATCCCGCTCCCGGGGATGCTCCCGCAGTGCCGGGCAGCGCTGGGGCCGTGCCGGGTACCCCACGGCCCGTCCTGCCCCGTGCCCGGCCCTCGGCAGAGCCCGCATCTCCGCGGCTGTCCCGCGCACCGGCAGATCCCGTTTTCCGAGCGCGTCCCGTGCTCGCCGTGCCCGTGAGCCGCGTCCTTGCCCGCAGGTCCCCGAGCACCGCGGTGGGCACAGCGGTGGGCACAGCGGTGGGCACAGCGGTGGGCACAGCGGTCATCTCGTGCACCCTGCTCAGCGGCCAGCAGGAGATCAGCACGTCCGTGCGCTACCGCCTGCAGCACCGCGCCCAGGTACCGCGGGGCTGTGCCCCGGCTGTCCCCAGCCCCCGGGGATCCGGGCTGTCCCTGCCCCCTGACTCCTGTTTGCCCTGCTGACAGACCCTGTCACAGCCAGGGCGGTGACATGCCCCCCGTGTCCGGCCGTGCGTGCCTGTGTCACCTCTTGTCTCCCCTCTCTGCCTGCAGGACCTGCCCGATACTCTGGTGGGGCCCGTCTGTGCCTTCTGGAACTTCAGCCTCAGGTGCCTTGTTTCAGTTCAGGTTCCCACATTTATGAGCTTTTTGTTTCCACTGGAAAACCAAACATCTCAATATAAATGTAATGGTAAGGGTAGAGATGTGGAATTTTTTGCCTCCTTTGCATGCTGACATCCCCTGTCTGCTGGAGCAGAATGCTTTCCTGGGAAGATTTCCTTTGGAGAAGTCACTCACAAGCAAGTGACCTTTAATGAGGTATATACAACTCAAATGGAAAGCCCTGGTTAATTATGGTTGCTGCCTGTGACAAAGAGGAGTCAGCCAAGATACACGCCCCAAAGACATGCAGGACTCCCAGCCTCGTAAATCCTGCCTGGCACTGGGATGTGTTTTTGCTGAATGTCACTGTGGTGAGAACACCGAGGCTGTGATATATTATAGATTGGTAATTAAGTCATTCAAGTGAAAAAATCCTCCCTAGAGTCCCAGACTTGTAGCAGGCATGGATCGGGTAGGGGAAGGTGGGAAGGATTTTGGAAACATCTGGTTATTGTCCAAAGGATCCCAGCAGCTCTGATCCTGACCTTCCTGGGGTGCTGGAGGCTCAGGGGGCAGTGGGGACGGAGCTGCAGCCATGGTCCTGCCCAGGGAATTCAGTGGGAGCGTTGCTGGGTGGCAGGGACAGGCCTGTCCTGAGGACCCAGGGGCACCATGCTGGCTTTGTGGCAGGCTGAGCTGGCGGGCAGAGCTGGGCACAGCCAGCCCAGCGCTGCTCTCAGTGAAGGGGCTGGGCAGGGAGCTCTTCCCAGAGCCAGGCAATAGCTGGGTTCTCTTTGAAGCTGTCACGGCTGAACTCCACTCTTTAGTGCTCACATTGACACCAGATGTATTTTCATTGTGTGCCTGCTGGATGAGGCAAAGCTGCTGAGACAAAGGGTGAACCAAAGGGAAGACCTGTTTCTGGTGTCCTCATCTTCCTCCTTTAAACTCTGCTTCTCCTGGGAGAATGAAATTGCCATCCTGCCCTGGCTTTCTGTGGAAGTGAAAGGTAATTTCTGTGTGTTTTCTCTGGTTTTTAGCCCCGATGCTGGTGGGATGTGGTCCACGGCCGGCTGCTCTGTGGCCAAGTCTCTCCCAGACTCCACTGCCTGTTTTTGCAACCACACCACCAATTTTGCCATCCTGCTGCAGGTGTACGAGATGGAGGTGAGGAGCAGCCTGGCCCTGGGGGGTGCTGGCACTGCCAGCTCCTGCAGTTGGTTCATGAGGGATTTGAGCATTTCTTGTTTCATGTCTGGAGCAGAGGACCACCAAGGAGGAGTTCACACTGCAGACTTTGACTTTTATTGGATGTGGAGTTTCCTTCTGTGCCTTGATTGTCACCTTCATTCTGTTCCTGGTGGTTGGGTAAGAGACTTGCAGCCTTCTCTTTATCTTATACTTGATATTTTACTTCAGAGCCTTTCTCAAAGTGTCCCTCGCCAGCGTGGGGTGGTGCAGGTGTGTGGGAAGAGGAGAGAGCTGCCCTGTGCTCCGTGGCAGAGGGGAGTGGTTGCTGTTGGCTGAAGGGGGGCTCAGCCCTGGGTGTTTCTGTGGAGATGCTCATTGATCTGTGCACACACCTGTGTGTCCATGGCAAGGCTTTCATCAATTGCTAACCATGTTTACTATAAAAGCTGCTCTGCTAGAATTATTTTTTTATAAAATAAATGGAGCAAGGACTATTTCTTTGATTGCCAACCCTTCTGTGTCTCTGGGCAAGCACAGAGCTCTGCCTTGTGAGTGTGGCAGTGGCTGCCTCCACCTCTCCCCCGTGCCTGTGCCCTGGAGCCCTGGACAAGGGCTGAGCAGCTGCACCCAAGAGTGTCCCCAGACAGAGAGCTTGCACAGCAGGGCTGTCCCCTGCCCAAGAGTGTCCCCAGACAGAGTGCTTGCACAGCAGGGCTGTCCCCTGCCCAAGAGTGTCCCCAGCACCAGTGCTAGCCCAGCAGGGCTGTCCCCTGCCCAAGAGTGTCCCCAGACAGAGTGCTAGCATAGCAGGGCTGTCCCCTGCCCAAGAGTGTCCCCAGCACTGAGTGCTTGCACAGCAGGGCTGTCCCCTGCCCAAGAGTGTCCCCAGCTCAGAGTGCTAGCATAGCAGGGCTGTCCCCTGCCCAAGAGTGTCCCCAGCACTGAGAGCTTGCACAGCAGGGCTGTCCCCTGCCCAAGAGTGTCCCCAGCACTGAGTGCTTGCACAGCAGGGCTGTCCCCTGCCCAAGAGTGTCCCCAGACAGAGTGCTAGCATAGCAGGGCTGTCCCCTGCCCAAGAGTGTCCCCAGCACTGAGTGCTTGCACAGCAGGGCTGTCCCCTGCCCAAGAGTGTCCCCAATACCAAGTGCTAGCACAGCAGGGCTGTCCCCTGCCCCTCTCACTGCCATCTGTGCAGTGAGTGCAGAGAGACCACAAGTTGCCCAGGCAGGCCTGCACAGCCCGGGGGGACAGGGAGGTCCTTTGGGGTGCACCCTTTTGTCTGGCTGCAGCTCAGGGCTCCCTCTCTCCCTCCCCAGCGTCCCCAAGAGTGAAAGGACCACGGTGCACAAGAACCTGATCCTTGCACTGGCTGCAGGAGAAGCTCTGCTCATGTTCAGTGAGTTGGCCAAGCCCAGCCAGGTGAGCTCAGCAGGAAAGGCCCACTCAGCCCCCGTGGCCAGGCTCCAGCATCTCTGCCAGAGCCACAGAACAGATTTATTAATTCCCTTAAATTAATCAAAGGGTAATCACCCTTTTGTTAATTACCTGTAACTGGCATCTAGGGTAGAATTGTCTCTCTGTTTGGAGATGCACATAAGTAGCTGTGCAGTGTGCTTTCTGTCCCCTCCAGGTGCTGTGTTTCATGGTCACTGCCTTCCTGCATCTCTTCTTCATGGCAGCCTTCTCGTGGATGCTGGTGGAGGGGCTTCTCCTCTGGAGCAAAGTGGTAGCAGTCAACATGAGCGAAGGCAGGAGAATGAAGTTCTACTACGTGACAGGCTGGGGTATCTGCACACTCCTCTGCCTTGGGTCCTCAGGAAAATATTCGTTTTCTTTCCTAGTGAAAGTTTTAATAGGAGAGATGCACTATTTTTTTAATTTCATTTGAGACCTGGGTGCCAGTGCCCTGCAGAGGCTCTCTGGAATTGTTTGTCAAATTTCTAGTCTTAAAATAGAAGTTGAACAGCATTTCTGTTATATTTCTAAACCCAGGAGTTCAGTAAAAAAATGAGGGGGAGATTTATGGTAAGTTCTTGTTCTTGGAGAGCATCACCATTGTCTGATAGTAATTAAATAGAAATGTGTTCCTCACTAAGCACCTTTTATTCAGAGGGAGCCCTTTAGGGACACAGAATTATTTGAATAAGCTGAGTTTTGTGTCAAAGAGGAGCCTCTTTAGGGATGTGCTGCTCAAGGAGCACACACCTCGTTGGACACTGGGCAACCACTCCAAGTATTTTGGATTGGTTTATGTCTTTGATTGTCCATTTTGTTAAAAAAGCAATCTGAGGAATAAATTGCTTTGGTCAGGACTTGGGACTTGGAATGCTTTATACCTCAGAGAGAGATGCTGACAGCTTGTAAATCTGGCTGCGTTGAGCCAGGACAGATTTCAGCTGCAGAGGATTGATGTTGCTCGTGGGGGCTGAAGTCTGTCTGGCCAGGGGGGTTTTGAAGCAATTGTCTGGTGCCCAGTGCCCTGCATGGGGCATCTCTGCTCTTCCCAGGGTTTAACCTGTGGGTTTTTCTGCAGGGCTTCCAGTCCTTATCGTGGGGGTGACCCTTGCAACTTCCTTTAACAAGTATGTGGCAGCCAACCACTGCTGGCTGAACGTGCAGACCAACGTCATCTGGGCCTTCGTGGGGCCTGTGCTCTTCATCCTGGCTGTGAGTGCCAAACCCTGCTGGGAAGGTGGGAGTCCCTTGGGTCTGCTCCTGCAAAAGCTGTGCAGAGTCAGGGGTGCAGCTCATTGTGCCTGCTGCTTTTAGGGGAAAGGTGTGGTTTTGCTTTATATAGACTTCTGCAACACAAGTAAATCTCTTTAATCAAAAAAAGCTTTTTGATGGGGAAGAAGTGCTTTAAGAAAATTTTGCTGACCAGTTCTTGGCTGGCTGTTCAGTTAGGAATGTGGTGTGTGACATTGCCTTAGCTAAAGGTCTGATTTTAATACAGGAATATCTACATCCTTGAAATATCATTATACAAAACACTGTAGCAGAAAAAGGTCCCATGTTTATGGGGTCCAGAATAGACATTTAACAGTGAAGAGGTTCTGTAGGAGCAGTTTTGGGATAAGTTTCCTATATTTCATGCCTGTGCCAATAGCTCTGTGAAGTCTTTTGATTTCATTGCTTTCCTGGTAATGACATTTGCCCCCAAGTTCTGACCCTAGTTTCCAGCAGAGGAGTGTCACCCTCTGGAGCTGAGGCTGCAGGATGTCACTGAGCCCAGCGGCTGTGCCCTGGCAGGTGAACAGCTTGGTGCTGCTCCGGGTGGTGACGGTGACCGTGGCCAGCGCTCGCAGGAGGTGCAAGATGCTGACACCCAACTGCAGCCTGGAGAGCCAGATTGGAACCCAGATCTGGTGAGCAGGGAAGGGCCTGGCTCTCCCAGCTGGGGCTGCTCTGGGTGTGAAGTATGTGAGGTGGTGTTGGATACGTGGAAGAAATCCTTTCCAGGGAAGCTGCTGAGGCACTGGCACGGGTTGGCCAGGGAAGCTTGGCCAAGTGAAAGGCAGTGAGCTGTGAGAGTCAGAGCTGCAGGGCAGAAGGGATTCTCTCCCCCAGGGGAGCTGTGTCTCACCCAAAGACAGTCTCTAATCCCAGCTGAGAAGCCCAGCCAGCACCTTCAGCCAAGGGAACCAGTGCTGGTCTCCATCTGCACTCACACTCCTGAATCTCACCCCTCTGGCACAGGAGACCCTTGGCAGCGCCTGCAGAAATCCAAGCTTGGGGCTTGGTGGGCTGAAAGTAAGGCTGGTGGGGGTTATACACACAGGGGAAGAGGCAGTGGGGACTTCTGTAATCAGTCAATACCGAGAGACCTCTAAAAAACTGCTGCCTGAGTCATTACTTTATCATGCTCTGTGAATTTTTATTGTTGTTAGCTGGCGCCGGATACCCCTGCTAGACACGCATTGTTCCCCTGTAGCATAAATAAATTTTCCCAAATTTACAGAAGCACAAAGATAGGGCATTGCTGGAGGGCAGGGTGACATCTATGTGCAAATAAAACAAATAGAGAAACCTTCCTTGTAGCAGAAATTGGGGGGAAATAGCTGTTTTCTCACTGCTGATGACGTCAAAGAGCTCCCTTCTTGCTAGCTTGCAGTGATAAATGGAGAACAGGGCTGGCACACTGGGGTCTGGGAGGTGAGATATTTGGTTTTTCCTGTCTTATTTTGTTTGCAGAGGAATTTGTTCCACAGCTACTGTCTTGGTAGTGTTTCATCTCTGAAATGTGCCTGGGTAACCCTGAGCTCTTTCTCCCACCAGGGCCACGGCCAAGCCCGTGCTGGTGCTGCTGCCCGTGCTGGGGCTCACCTGGCTCTGTGGGCTCCTGGTGCATCTCAGCATCGTCTGGGCCTACGTCTTCATTGTGCTGAACTCCCTCCAGGTGAGAGCTGCACCTCCTGGGTGCCCGGGCCACGCCAGGCAGGCGCCTGCAGGGCACTCTACCTGTCCTTGCAGCCTGGGTGCTTTAGCTCTGAAGCCAGCCCAGCCTTCCCAAGCCACGGGGCCATTTTGTCTGAGGAAACTCATTTCACCCTTCCAAGATACAAAATACAGCTCTGGAGACCTTGCACACCTGACAGCCCTCAGCACCAGTCCCTGGCAGTGTCCTACTGGTGCCACAGGTTTCCAGTTCAGATCCTGTTTCTTGTGCTAGTTTTTCTCACACCAGTGTGGTTCCAAAACAACAGTTACAAACTCATTAGAGTTTTTATTTGCTGGTATAATGGTAATTAAAATGGTACCTGTGCAGCCAAATGGGGCAGACATCCCTCCTGCTGTTTGCACCTGGGAAATGAGCTTCTGCTGCAGGACAGGGCTGGCCCTGGGACTGTTCCCAGGACCTGGGGATGTCTGGAACCCAGGGACACACGGTGACAAAAGCTCCTGGAACATGTGCTTGCCACCTGCGATCCAAAGCATCGACAGAGGCCTTGCAAACCTTGAGAGAAGGCAGCTGTAGATGGAGCTAGAGAAGCACTGAACACCCCACAGCCCTGCACACCCGGCTCCCAGCACGCTCCTGAGGGGAAGGTGGAATTCTCAGCAGGCAGGGGGAGCAGGGAGGGGCAGCCCAGCCCTGGGGTTGAGGCTGTGCCTCTCCAGAGGTGCCCATGGGCACTCCCTGCACTGTCCCAGCCCTTGGCACTGCCTATTCAGGGTCTCTTGCCCAGTGCTTGAGCACAAATCCTTCTCCAGGGCATGCAAGCCAAGGGAGCCACTGGGCACTGCCCTCCAAACCACTGGGATTAGAGAGTTTTGCACCCTTATTTCCCATTTTTCTTGTTTCAATAGAAGCTAGCTCCTGCTGTACTGTGCCTGGGGAGAGGCCAGCTCTGTGTGCTCCTCTGGCACACTTGGCTGTTCCCAGGCTGGGCTGGCCCCGCTGTCCTGGGTCAGTCCTGGCCCTGTCACCTCGTGCACGCGATGGGTGGCAGCTCTGGCTGCTCTGGGATGTTCTCCTGAGTCAATCCCAGCCCTGTCACCATGCACACTCAATGGTGGCAGCTCTGGGATGCTCTGGGATGCTCTCCCGGGTTCAGTCCCAGCCCTGTCACCATGCACACTCGGCTCTGGGATGCTCTGGGATGCTGTCCCGGGGCTGGCACTGCTCCAGGGCTGGGAGCTGCTCACGCACATCCGCCGGCCCCGGTGGGAGGCTCCAAGGCCAGAGAGGGCTGCCTCTCCACATCTCTGCTGTTAAGGCTGGCAGGAGGATGGCAGGAGGCCTGTCTTGGTCTGGTTGAACAGCATCAGTTCTCTGTGTCTCCTCATGCCATGCTTGGGTCATTGAGCAGGAGGGAACGGCAGGCTCCGAGCTCTGTGGACAGACATGGCTGTGCTGTACTCTTTTGCCTCTGTCCCTTCATTACCAAGTTCAGAACAGCCTGCAGATTGCCCCAGAGGAGAAATAAATGCTGGTGAGAAGCTGCAGAGTTGAGAGAAAGCCATCCTGTTTCAGCCCCTTTGCTTACTTCCTACGAATCACTCGGAATTTCCTTTGGGGCCAGAGTGTTCCTTCACGTGTGGCTCCTGCACAGTTGTTCTCTTGCTGGGGTTGTTTTTTGTTTGACTCTTTTCTGTTGTTCTGCAGAAGCCCCAGCCTGTGTCAGGGCTGCCCTGTGTGTGCTGGCACCAAACATGCCAACTCCTCCTGCAGGCAGGCAGGGCAGGAGCCCAGACAGTGACTGAGCAGCAGGAGGGAGCCCGAGGGGCTGTGGGGCAGGGTGGAAGGGGAGGGGGCTGCAGGGGCTCCCCCAGAGCTGCATCTCCTCTCCCACCCCCTGCTGCAGCTGGGCCTCCTCTCCTTCCTCGCTCTCCTCCCCCCTCCCTGCGCTCATCCAGAATGATTCTCTCAAGGAAGACCTGCCTTGGAAGCCTGGCCAGAAATCTGGTCTGGGGGAGTGACCAGCGCTGCTGGCTGAAGGACAGGTCACGGCACGGTGCCAGGGCTGCTGCCATTGCTCCTGCCAAGAGCTCGCAGATGAGAGCAGGGCTCGCTGGAGACAAGATGGATTGCATCTCTGGCTGCAGCTGATTTATCTAGCTGCGATAACAAAACACCCACAGATATAACATAAATCTGGTGGGCCAGATAGGGCTGCCTTAAGGCCAGGATGGTCGGGCTGGAGCTGTAATTAGCCCCAGGCTGTGGCCCCCGGGCAGGGCTGGCCTGGGCACATCCCTCACACAGCTGTGCCCAGCGCTCGTGGTGGCCCAGGTGCCACTGCCCGCTGCTCCTCTCTGCTGTGAGGGCAGCAGGCTCTGTCAGCAGCCTGCTCTCGAGTGTGGGAGGCCCTTCCTGCCTGGCTGGGCTGTGCCCACCCTCTGTGCCAGTCTCAGCCATGCCAGGGCTCCTCTGAGCTCCATGCAGAGCAGCACAAACCAGCCGTACGTCTCTGACCCGTGCCCTGCCCTCTCCCTTCCAGGGCCTGTACATATTCCTGGTCTATGCTGTCTACAACAGCGAGGTAAGAGATGGGTTCAGCCACTGCTCACTGCAGCTCTGTGCTGGCATCGGGGGGCAGCTGGGCTCTGGCTGTTGCAACAGGCAGCACAGCCCCACTGTGCTGCTGGAGCCCTGGCTGCCTTTTCTCCATGATTTGCTGGAGCATCTCCAGCTGTGCTGGAGCTGCTGTGGCCCTCTGTCACGTCCTTGCTCTGCTGCAGGTGAGGAATGCCATCCAGAGGATGAAGGACAAGAAGAAAGCCCTGTCGTTCACAGTGAGTTGGAAGGAATCCCTGCTGCCTCTCCATCCCTCAGCCACCCACCAGAGGAGGGTCCCAGCTGTGCTCTGGGTCTGCTCTGAGGAGAGGATGATGGAAAGAAATCTGATTTTTTTATTTTTGTCTGCCCTTTTTGCTGCCTTGTTGGACACCACAGACCCAAAGACAGCCTACCCCTGTGAGGCAGCAGCCTGCTCTGCCAGGGTGGGGTGGGAGCCAAAGCAGGGATGATGAAATCCCTCTTTGTAGTCTGATCTGGGTGTAGCAAAGTCTCAGTTGCAATTTTCACTGTCCTGTATCTCTTGCCTGTCGTTCCAGAACTGCTCTCATCCCATCAACTACTTATCCAGCCCTAGAAACACGACCTCCTGGGACACAGGGAAGCTGAGTCCTGCAGCTGGGACTGCCCTGCCAAGCCCTGTGCAGAAAGACCCTCCAGTGAGGAACATCACCAGCAGAGGTAAGAGGATTGTTGTTGCTGTTGGCCCAGGCTGGTGCTCTCATCAGCATGTTAGGCAGCATTGCATTCTCCTGAGGCAAAACTCCATCTTAGTGTCTTAAAATTAATTTTCTGGAGGAGAGGCAAAGGTGTCAGTTGAAAATAGGGATTTTGGCTTTGGGCAAAAAAGGTTTTGCATTCTCCCATCAGTTTGTGGGTGCAGTGATGCAGAAAACTCTTTTGCTCCTTTGCTTCAGTGTGGGACACAAAGCACCAAGTTCTCAGGAAAGCATGGATATTTCTGTTCTCTGCTCTGTGAACTCATTGTGCTGCTTCACCCTTTAGGAAATTTTGGAGCCAAGATTCCCATGGGCATTTCCTCCATTATGTCACCCGAGAGACCGGTATGTAACCCGTCCTGTTCTTCCTCCTTCACCCCTCCTGGGCACAGCAGCTCTGCAGGGACACCGCCAGGGCCTGGGCAGGGGGGACAACAGGACAGGGCACCTTTGCAAGGACGGGAGAGGAGTGGCCCAGAACAGAGGAATTCCAAGGCAAAGCTCACCCTGAGACAAGGGGAAGCAGGAGGGTGCTTAGAGCAGGGCCCTGCAGGAACACGAGGTGCTGCTCAGTTCAGGCCCAGGCTGAGGTTGGTATGGATCAAGCAGGAGACTTTCCCAAGGACAGCAAATTGAATCAGGCAGTGGGGCAGGTGCCATGGGCCAGGCTCACCTGTGCCAGGAGGGCTGTGCTGCCTGCATCGGGATGGAGAGCTCAGCCAGGCCTGGCCTAAAGCAGGGAACAATTTAAATTTGACTACTCTGCTCCCACTTCCATCTCCTGCTTTTGAAATGATCATCAGTCCTTGTGTGCTTGACATACAAGTGCTGTAATTCCCTCAGAATAAAATCCAGCACTACTTTCATGAGTCTCTCACTGAAGGATCTCTCTTTCCCTCTCTAATATTTATCCTTTGAAAACCTATGTCACATAGACAGCTCTTATTTATCCAATAGATAATACTTCTACAGCTGGCATATGGTTCTGAAGCCGCTCAGTAAAATCCATATTTCCATCTCTCGTGATTTATATTGTGGTTAATGCTGCAGCAGCAGCAGGGCTCACTGGCAGGGGATGCTTTCCCCAGGCAGCCAGGTGCTGGCTGTGTGAGCAGGGTCAGGGCTGAGCTCCTGGCACCAGGTGCAGGACGTGGGCAGCAGGATCAGCCCAAGGACCGAGAGCTGGGCAGGGGCACCCGAGGCAGCAGATCCCCTGAATGCCAAGGCCGTGGCATTTCTCAGCAGGCAAAGACAGAGAGTGCTTCTCTCCTGGGAGGGTCACTGAGGGCTTTGCTGTGTCTCTGCTGTATAAACACCATTTTTAATGTGCTTGTTCCCTTTTTGGCCAGGGCAGGTGCTGCAGGGCTGAGGCTGCTGCCGGTGCCTGCAGTCGGTGCTGCCGCAGCTCCTGGGGCAGAGCCGGTGGGGCCGAGAGCACCAGCAGGGCTGGGCTGGCACGGGAGAGGGCTGGCACAGGGCTGGGCACACAGAGGGCTGGGCACAGGGCTGGGCACACAGAGGGCTGGGCACACAGAGTGCTGGGCACACAGAGGGCTGGGCACACAGAGGGCTGGGCACACAGAGTGCTGGGCACACAGAGGGCTGGGCACACACAGAGGGCTGAGCACACAGAGAGCTGGGCACACACAGAGCTGAGCACACAGAGAGCTGGGCACACAGAGGGCTGGGCACACAGAGGGCTGGGCACACACAGGGCTGGGCACACACAGAGGGCTGGGCACGCCTGTGCCCCCTCGGTGTGCCCCGTGCTGTGTGGGGGCTGGGGCTGCTGCCATGCCCCCAGTTATGTAAGCCAGGCTGCTTTCCCTGCTCCCTCCTGAGTCACGGCGCTCGCCAGAGGAGCGGCGGATTCAGAATGTCACTGGCAGCTGCACAATAGTTTGGATGAAGAGAAGATGCTACTTAAAGGCGTTTGAAAACACTTAAAATGACAAAACACTGAGCGAATGGAGATACAAACACAGACAAGATGTTCTTCGTGTTTCAGCTTTTTTCAGTGTTGTTTGGTGATCTTTGCTGCTGTTGGACTGGCAGTAGGACTCTCACGTCTCCCAGAGCATTAACCATCCTTTGAGCACAGGGTGCAGACTGAGTGGGCTCTTCCCAGCACAGCACAGGGGCTCCCTCATCCTTTCCTGGCTTTTCCTGTGGTCTCCACCCTGGTATCCAGAGCAGGCTGTAGCTCCCCACTCAGAGGTGCAGCTGTGTCCAGGGACCCTCTGCCCGGTGCCAGGGAGGAAGGCTCTGGTTCTGTGAGGGACAGTGGGTGGTTCTGGGGAGCCCTGCCTGGCCCCAGGGAGAGTGTGGGGGCACCAGCAGCAAAGCCTCAGCCCCATACCTCTGCTAACACAGGCTCTCCCCTCTTTCAGGCCGTAGAGCTGACAGCGTTCAAAAGCTCAGGTAATGTTTTCCTACATCGTGTTCTGCAGTTTGTGTTGCTCTTGGTGCTGGCTCCTGTGCTTGTGTGTTGGAGGGCTGATCAGAGGGCAGCTGCTTTCTGCTCAGCCTTCAGGATAGTATTATTTCCAAGCTGCCCTGATGGGTGCTGTCCTGGCCAGGCTGTGGGAAATCTGTGTCCCCTGAGCAGAGGAGGGACAGCTGGGGGCTGTGGAGCCCCAGCAGCCCTGCCAGGGGCACTGCCTGTCCTGGCAGCACTGTGGCTCAGCCAGAGGTCCCATGCCAGGGCACCTGCCTGCTTTCTCCCCATGTCTCTGCACCTTTCTTGCTGCCCATCCTTGTCTGCTGTGCCAGCAGAGCTGGGGGTCACGGGCAGGGGGGCCCTGCAGGTTCCTGGTGCTGAGCTCTGTGCCTGTCCCCAGCCCCACTGCTCTGTGGCAGGGCCTGGGCAGCTTCCAGGGGAGAGCAGCTCTTTCTGCCCTGGGCAGCTTCCAGGGGGGAGCAGCTCTTTCTGCCCTAGGCAGCTTCCAGGGGGGAGCAGCTCTTTCTGCCCTAGGCTGCTTCCAGGGGGGCAGCAGCTCTTTCTGCCCTGGGCTGTTTTAAACCAGCAGCTGTGGCAGAAAGCACTGGTGGGTGCTGGGAGTGCCATGATCCCAAAGAAGGGAAGCTGGGGAAGGTGGGTTTTCAGACAGGGCTGGATTTATGAGCTTAAAAGCAGCCATTTAGCTTCTTCTGTTTCAGGTTGTAGAAAGGCCAATGTCACCATGGAGGTGGGTAGAATTAAATCCAGAAATCCCTCCTAAGCCCCAGGCCTCTGCTGGATGGCAGCTCCCTGCTACCTCCTCAGCTTCCCAGCCTGGCTTTGGGCAGGTCCCCAGCTCCTCAGAATACAAATGCAGCATATTTCACTTATTGTCTTTAACAAACACTGCTGGGTACCCCCAGTGCAACTTCTGGGTGGGGACCCTCAGGTGGACAGTGCAGTGAGGACACACCAGGGGTGGAGTGATGATGTTTTTTCTGCATTGTGACATTTTCTTTTGCCAAGGCAAGCAGTGCATTAGCAGGTGTCTGATTTTGCTCCACATGAAGTGTCTGAGCAGGGCATGCTCAGGCTCTTTTCGAGACGATGCCACCCAGAAGCAGTGCAGCTTTCCTCCCCACACTGGGCACATGAGAAAGGCACAAACTGTGGCACCCAGGAGTAGCTGTGCAGCAGCATTTCGGGCAGGAGTGGGGTCTCAGAGGCAGCAAGACCTGCACCCACCACAGGCATTTGTGCTCTGCCCACCCACCCGCACCTTCTTCTGCATACCTTATAACCCACGTGTGTATTAAACTCCAGCTGTGCAAAGTGGGCTGTTTAGTTTGGTTTGATTGTCCCAGGCGAGCCCTCAGTGTGTTTTGAGAAGCCCAGGTCTGCACAGAGGGTGATGGAATGCCAGGCTGGGCTCGGTGCTGTGGGAGAGGCCAGGGTGGAAGGGATGCTGTGCAGCCCCCGAGCCCCCCGGGCTGCCCCGGGGCTGTCCTGGAGCCCGGGCTGAAGGAGGAGATGTCCAAGCAGAAGAGCTCTCCTCTCACACTCGTGTCCGTGCCACGAGAGCCTCCAGCCACTGCAGCGGTGACACAAGGCTGTGATGGCCAGCTGCAGGGCTGCTGGGGGCCCAGGGCAGCTCAGCCTCACACAGGAGTGTGCCCCCACGTTCTGCTCACAGAGCAAAGCGCTGCGCAGCTCTGGGAGCCAGGACGGGGCAGATCACCCCAGCACAGACACTGTCCCCTTCTATTCGTTCTCTCCCAAACAGTTTAATGAGAAGAGATGTGTTTAGCCCCAGATATCTCTGTTTGAAAGCTGCCAGCCAGCTGATGAAAATGGAGAGACAGAAGCCCACCTGTCTCTCCCAGGAAAGCTGTGCTGGATCTGGGGTGGGTCCAGCACCTCTCTGCTCCGGGGCCTCAGCCACACTCCCGTGAGAACCCTGGGGGCTGCACTGGCTCCAAGGGCAAGAGACAGACAGCGATTCCATGGGGAGGTGGGACGTGGGATGGGTGAGGATCAGGGTGGATAAAATCCAGGTGAATGCCAGGCCAGAACCAGAGAGATGGGGAGTTCAGCAGCGTGGCTGTGGCAAGAGGCAGGCAGGGCCTCCCCCCACAAGGGCTCAGTCCATGGAGCAGCTCTGCAGTAATGAGCTCCAGCCAGCTGTAGGGAGCTGCTCTGTGCAGCGAGCCCTGCCTGGCTTCATTACACACTTTTTGTGAGCGGGGCATGGCTGGGGCCGTTCACATATTTGCACAAACAATAAGTCCCATCTTCCTTGTCTTGGCAAACAAGGGCTCCAGGAGGCCTCCACATCCTCCATCTCCTCAAGTGATGGCTGCTTTGTTTCCCCACGATAATTTCATTATTCTGTTTGAATACATTTATATGTTGCTAAGCCACACATAGCAACATGGATCTTGTGTGCGCAGCCCAGCCCTGCGCTGATCGATACTGAGTAATTCTGCAACTCTCACCATATTGTGTTCCATGAGCTTGGCTTGAAATAATGAGGAGTTTGTGAGTCTTTGGGATTCAAAGCCAGAAAAGCACCTGAGTGTCATGGGGAGCAATGCAGACCCCGTCCATCCTGGTGGGATCAGCACTGGGCCATGGCCCTTCCTGTGGGGTCCCTCGTGTCCCCTGTGGAGGAGATGCAGCCCATGGTGCTCCCTGCCATGGCAGAACTGGTGTTTTCCTCAAATCCCATTTAAAGCCCATTGTTCCGTGCTCCCAGCACTGGGGGCTGTGCTGACAGGGGAGAAGAGCTTTCCCTACAGCCATGACCCTGTGAAGGGAGACTGCTCTGGCTCCCTGTCACAAGGATCTTCTTTCAGAGACCCCCCAAAGGGACAGGGGGTCTCTGGGGTGGCAGAGCTGTACCACTGGCAGGCAGGGCTGGCTGTGCCAGCCCATGCCAGCTACACCCACAGCTCTGTCCTATGCAGGTTTGGGCAGTGGGGTCCCACCAGCTCTCCCCCTGCCCTGGGAGGGACCCCTGCCCTCCCCTGCTGCCAGCAGAGCTGAGACCTTCTCTCTTTTGCTTTAGGTTTCTGAGAAGTTTCTGGGCGACAAGCCTGCAGTGCAGAGGGTCCTCCAGCAGGAAGGATGGCAGGCTGGAGGAGCTGGCTTCCCTTGGAGAGCTTCCAGTCCGGGCAGAGCTGTCACCCTGCACTCCTTCCCAGCCCCACTGCCACCAAACCAAGGCGGGGGCATGGGGGTCTCATGGGGCTCTGTCTGCTGCTGACACCTGCCCTGCTCCCTCCCCGGGTGGGTACCTGTGTTCTGGGGTCCCCACGGCTCCTGCAGCCCCTGCCAGGGCAGCCAGGGCTGGCCTGGGGCAGCGCTGCCACCACTGCCCCTGTCCCTGCTGCCAGCCCCGCCAGCCAGGGCTGTGGCTCTGGCTGTGCCTGGGGGAGCTGGAGCAGCGGGATGGGGACTAGGCCAGCTTTGTCCCTGTGGGGTGGCAGCCGTGCCCACGCTCCCGTGGCAGTGGGGATGGCAGCACCCTGAGCTGGGGCAGGGCTGGGACGGGCTGTGGATGAAGCACGTGCACTAGGGAAGCCAGCAGCTGGCTTCAAGCCTTTTCTAAACCAGCTGACATCAATAGCATCTTCTGCTGTTTAGGACAAAAATCCTCTCCCTGCTCCTGCTTGGGTTCCTGCCCGGCTGGCCTGGCCCCTCGCCAGCTGGGAGCTGCTTTCCTTCCCTCTTCTCCTCTTACCTCTGTAGTGTTTAGAGCACACAAAATGTGGTGGGTTTTGCTGATTATGACAAGAGTAAATGCTGATTTTAAAGACAACCTCCTCTCCTTGTTGCACTGTCCAAGGGAAGGGGCTCGTGTCCAGCTCTGTGTGGACACCAGGGCACTGCCCACTGATTGCCCATCTGAGCCCAGAGATGGGGGTTTGGCCATGCTGCAAGGACCAGGGCACTGCCCACTGATTGCCCATAAATGTTGCTGTTCCCACAGTCACTTGCAAAACACTTGAAGAGCCACTGTGGCAATTCCCAGCAGCACTTTGAACCAATCTGGGGTCCCCAATGCCCAGAAGCAAAGGCAGCAGCAGCCCCCTGCCACAGCCACGCTGTCCCAGTCCCACGGTGTGAGCTGACACCCCAGGAGTGCACCCACAAACACCCAGCCCTCCCCATGCCCAGCACCAACCACAAGGGTTAGAAAGACAGCCAAAAAAGACAAAGTTTGCCATTTTAAATGAACTGCAAAATTTATTACAGTGGTTTGCTCCTGACAAAGAAGTTGGTAACCTTCTGCCTGGGAAGGAAGGGGGAGGACTGGGGAAGGGCAGGGATGAGAGGGAGGAAAGGATGTAAGAGACAGAGAGAGACACTTAAGGACACTTTTCATTTTCTGAAAATAAAACGTCTTTTACCTCCCAAAACATTTTCTCCAGTTAAGTTCACAAAAAGAAGAAGGTGAAACCAAACCACAGACTTCAGGAGGAAAATGCACAAACGTGTTAAAGCAGAGACAAACATGCTCTTTCTTCTGTGTCTAACAAGCTTCACGGGTGCAGCCTCTGTGGCTCCTCAAGGCACCAGCTCTGCAGAGCTGCAGTGGCCCCTGGGCACCAGGACAGCCCTGGGATCTGCCCTGAACACCCCAGCCATGCTGCAGGACCCCCAGAGCTGGGGGTCTGTGGGGCAGGGGCTGTGCCAGCCCCAGGGGTGGGGCAGAGGAGAGAGCACGGCTGAGACCGAGAGAAAGCAACAGTGAGAGTCCAGCACAGCCCAGTTTGGGGGGCTTGAGACCCCCAGTGCTCCCAGTGCTGTCTGTGAGCCCCAATCCCATGATGGGAGAGGAACAGAGAGCTCTTTGCCTGTGGCTGTGGCACAGCATTTGCTGTCCCCTGGGGACATGGCAGAGCAAAGGAGGGGGCCAGGAGGCCCAGCATGAAGGGCAGGTCAGTCCTTACTCCTCCTTACCCCTCACTCAGCAGATAAATGCAGGGGGGCACTGCAGAGCTGCCCAGGTTTCCCCAAGATCCTGAGCACATGCTGGAGCTTGCACCTCCCTCCTGCCTGGCTGCTCTGCCACCATGCCTGTGGGCAGGACCGAGCTGTGCTGCCCGTGGGCAGCTCTGGGCTCTGGGCACTGTGGCTGCCACAGAGCTGCTGCCTCCAGCACCAGCAGGCACAGGAAAATGCACCTCAGCTGAGGATTCAGCACTGCCCAGCCCTGCCTTGGCCAGGGCAGCTTCAGGACAGAGCTGTCAGCAATTGGGACCTGGCATCTGCCCCTTGGGGTCCTGGCACTGCTGCATGGGGCCGACACCTCCAGCCCAGCCCTTGCATTCTGTGTGGATTTCTGCAGGAAATCTACCTCTGTGTGTTCCCTGGTGCCTGGAGACACCTCAGCCACCATAAAACCACAGCCTGGAGGGGTTTCACCTCCCCTCTCTCCTGCCCTGTGCACGAGGGGCCCTGAGACATGGGCAGGGTTGGGGAGGGATGGCGGCAGCCAAGAAACAGCTGGTGGGGGCAGCAGGAGAGGAGCAGAAATAGGAGAAAAGCCAGGACAGGCTTTCCCCTTCCTTGGTGCCACTGAGCCGGGTTGGCAAGTGACAGGTTTGGGCACCAGGTGCGCGGTGCAGCTGGAGGCCAGCACTGCCAACGGGGCAGTGCCAAGCCACGGCCCTGCAGCCTCAACTGTCCTTGCTGTGTACGGAACCATCTGGGGCATTTCCAATAGCAGAGGTTAAATAGCATCACTGAGGAAGGCAGGGTGGGAGGGGCACTGCCAGCCCCGGGCACCAGCCCTGGCCCTGCTGGAGGCACCGGGGTGCTGCCGGGTCCTGCCGGTGCCGCTCAAGTCCGCTTGGCGTGCAGCATCTCGATGAGGAGGTTGTTGCAGGGCACCTCCCCGCTCAGGTGCTTGTGGTACAGGTACTCCTCGGCCTGCAGGCTCAGCGCCCGCACCTCGGCCAGCCACAGCAGCAGCTGGCGGAACTTGTCCGTGGAGTGGGGGTAGTGGCACACCGTGTACTCCAGCAGCGCCGCGTTGGCCTTCTCCTGAGCGTCCTTGGCCAGCGTGTGGTTCTCCAGGTACTTCACGTCTGCAGAGGGGGAGGACGGGCATGAAATGGTGCCAAACTCACGGCTCTGCCCCATCTGTGCCACACTGTGCTGGGTGAGCCAGGAGGGACC